GGGGCAGGGACAGCTCATGAGTCGGGTTTTGGCCAAAACGACAAGCCTTCCTTGGCACCCGGTGGGAGGGCTGGTCCGTGGCGGCACTTGATCCATCACAGATCCCACATGGTCGTCAGGTCGCAGACGAGGTAAAACAAACTGTGAAAAAAACTTGCGGGCTCAGGCTCTACAGTCCCGACTGCTGGGTGAACTTTCTGACCGGTTGATATTGTCTAGTTGCTGATATCCTTGGAGAGGAGCACTCGTAACGAGGGCTGCTCACAATGGTCAGGGCCTGGAGCATAGACTCATATCCACATATAATATCGTATGGCCTCAAAGGTCCTTGGTTCCTCCATCTGAAGGACCCGACCAGCGAGGGATAAATACACAGGAATATGCCTGCGCGCAGCCCGATACCGGCTAGATGACCGAGGCACTTGGGGGCCGAGACATGTATGATGTCGGGCTCTTTGTGCCTCGTGCCCGGGCCCGCGGCGCCAAGTTGGCAGCAGAGACGGCGGCCCGCCGTCCAGGCCAGTACCGACGTACAATAGATGCGGCGCGTCGCAGAGCCCTTTGAGCTGTCGAGCCCGGCCATCTCGTCGGCCAGCGAGGCGCACCTCCGCCGGTACGTCGCAGTACTCGGGTCGAGAGACTACGCCGCGCACCTGGGATGCACCTTGGTTGGCAGAGGGTCTCTTGACGTGACCGACCGAGTGCGCCGGTCGGTGCGGTCTTCGTATCATCAGCATGAGCGTCATCTCCAGGTTGTCCATGTATCTATTCGAGACGAGGCGCAATCCACACGACATCAAGGGGCCCTGCGGAGTCGAGATTCGAGTCAGGTCGACATGGTGTGTTGATGTAGCTGGGATGTCTTGATCGAACATGACACTTTCTAGTCACACAACTCTTACTCTGCGCTTTCTCATGCGGCCTGTGGTCCAACTTGAATAACGCACCTGTGTCTGGTACTTGGTAAGAAGGGTCCTTGGTCCGCCACGAGACCCTCTCGTCACCGGGGCCCTTTGCCTTATTGCTTTTGGTGCCTTTGATGCCTTGGTGCCCGAGCCCACTAGCGACCAGTGAGGCTATCGTGATAGCTGCAACCTTTGTGTATTGCAGATAGTCATGTGGTTGAGGCTTTTCCGTGTGACACCGGCCTGAAGCAAAGTAAAGCGAGTCGTTTGGTAATGTTGACAGAACTGTACACGCGGCCCATGAGTTCCACACTTTAATCTGCACCGCCTCCACAGGTTTCACAGCTGCGGACCTCAGACGCGGCCGCCAGGTCATGGGTGAGAAGAAATGCAGAGCTTCGAGGCCCAAGCAGGCCGCCGCCGCCTTCGAGAAGGATGTTTGAGCACCTGTCAGAGCCATCCTGGCGGGTGAGTCAGTCTCATCAAGATCAAACGGTAAGAAGCCGGCGTCTCCCCGGCTTGCCCTCCCGGTATACGGTATACATGGACTCTGATCCAGGGGGGGAGAGCCTCCTGAAGTCTCAATCAGCGTCAAGTGTATTGGCAGTCATGCGTAACAATATGAACAATGGTGGAGTCATGTAAACACACGGTAGACGTGACGGATGGCATCAAAGTCCAAGCTGACCCGGACACGCACATACATATATAAGGACTTGCCAAACACCCTCCTCGACGGTTCTTGAGACTCACCCGGCACCACACTCTCTTCTACCCTTTGCCTCCTCTTTTCCATCTGCTCAATCTCAATTCTCAACACAGCAACTATGAAGGCAGGAATCGCAATGCTAGCCTCCTTGGCCGGATGTGCCTTGGCAGTGCCGGCTACCAGTCAGGGAGGGCAACGCGTCGGTTGCGGTCATGGCCCTGCCGAGCCGGAACCTATCTGGGCCGAAAAAGACTCGTATAGAGATTGCCAGAAGAAGCTACCCAACAACACTTGCGTCCGGGCCATGTACCATTTGCAAGGCTCGAATGCACGTTTTCAAATGAACTGCCAGACCGGCGACCTGCAGAACCGGACCGAGCCTCATGCCATCAGCATGAACTACTTTCCCAAGAACCTGTTCCCCGATGGTCCCAAGTGCGGCAAGGTCGAGGGAGGCCTCGTCATCCTCACCGCGGATGACTACGGCGACGTCTGCGAAAAGTGCTTCGGTAAACCCACAGACAGCGACGCAGACAAACCCGCAGCGCAGACAAACCCGCAGAAGCGTCGCAGACAAACCCGCAGACAGCGTCGCAGACAAACCCGCAGACAGCGTCGCAGACAAACCCACCGAGTTGGGAGCGTGAGGCCGACGAGTTCAAGACACGCGCATGCAGTCTTGATGCGGAGATTGGTTGTGATTCTATGGAATGTGAAGCTAGAGGCGGAGACCAAAGACTGTCATTACCTATAGGCCATGGCGGGTTCCCATTGCCATGTATCGTCCTTGTACGGGGGCATTGCCAATACTGCTCTGCGAGGTCTTGTACGTTAGAGAAGACTGTGACGAATACAAGCTGGTGTAGCCTCGCGCAACCCAAGACGCCCTTGATACCGCCGGTGACGTCGAATTTCTGCTTGGATGCTGTGACAAGGCTAGAATCCTGGGACCTGGAGCGAGTTCTATGATGGCTTATACAACAAGGTCTCAATTACAAGGACTCGGGGCTGTAGCTGGCCTTGCTCCCTGGTGCTGGATACGACAGCAACCAACTTGACTACTGAGCCTGGACGGCGACCTTGTGGTAGATCAGTTGCCATCCAGGTATATCTGGAAGTTCTGCTGTCCAAAGCTTTAGACTCGCAGTGTGACGAGGGCTCGTCATGATGAAAAGGGCACGGAGCAAAGATGCAGATCATTATGTAGTGTCGTATCGTCTCAAGGTCCTCGGTCCCTCCATCTGAAGGGCCCGACCAACGAGGGCTACATTTACAAGAAGATGCCCCATGTGTAATCTGACCCTGACCCGGATCGCTGAGGCATCAAGGGTTCGAGAGTCGAGACACGTTGGGCCTCTGTGCCTAGATGCCACGGGCCCGTGAATGGCCCGTGAGGCCATCGTGATAGCTGCAACCTGTGTGCGTTGCAGCAAGTCATGTAGTTGAGCCTTGCCGTCCACCATTCGTCTACCATCCCATCCCTCAACCTCGGCTGCCCCCAGGCAGAACGCAGTCGAAAACACCCGACGGCTTCGAGTGTGTCACAAAGCACGACTTACATCAAAACCACCCGAGTAAACAAGGGCGAAAACACAAACGAGAATCGCTTCATCCTTCGTCCCGTCCCATGCATTAGTCGGAGAAGTGACAGTTGGCCATGCCCGGCCAGTCAGTCGGCTGATATGCCGTGTCCATTGTTCAATACATCACATTCAAATCGCAACCAGTTGGTCCTTGAAAAATTGCTCTAGGATTGACCACCCCGTGCTATATTTCTCCGGAAACCACGCCCGTCGTTTGCTCTGTCAAGAACGAGGACCTGTAGGTCTTCAACGGGTTCTAGACGAGAAAATGGGCACTGGGCGCTGGGCATCATCTGAAGACAGATATTGCTACAGGATGAGCCGAGGAAAGGAAGCAATAAAATAGAAATTACAGTCACAAAGGCGCCTGGCCGTTGCCGTCAACCTGCCGAGCAGGAGGGCACGGCAGCTGGAGGGTGAACGACCCCCTCCCCCGTCTGCGTGGAAGGGAATTATGCTTGTCTTGGCCTTCAACTATCCAAGGTAGTACAGGCCAGTATTCTTTTGCTGCGAGGCAAATGTAAACTCAAACCAGAGCCACGCCAAAAATGGTGCAGCCAGAGGCGTTGGCAACCTTTCGTGGCTGTTGACACCCAAGACCCGGAGTACATTCACTTGCCCTCTTGTTGTCGGAAATATTGGGTCATCGTAGAGTGAATAGTATCTGGATACTTGAGAGTATCTGGATACTAGTATCTGGATTTGTTGTCGGAAATATTGGGTCATCGTAGACTTGAGAGTATCTGGATACTTGAGAGTATCTGGATACTTGAGCAGCACCTTGTGTCAGGGTCGAGTCACTCATGTGTCTCGGCCGAGGTGCCAGATCCGGCACTCGAGGGCAGCCCAGTCACTATTGGAGAGTTGTTCGTCCCAGCAACATGCAATGGCGTTTCTTCCGCCTGATTTGCAGCGTTGGAATCGGCTCCAGCTTCCAAGCGGAACGCGACCGCTGACGGGTCGCCAAATGCCTTGGCTGCAGCGGCTGCTACATTTTAGGGTGTCTCTCCGTCCATTTTGGCAGCCTTCGGATCAGCACCTCGGCCACCCAGGCCCTTGGCTCTCGGACCGGGACCATTCATAGCTGAAGCTCGGTGCAGTGCTGTCTCTCCGGCGGTGATGGTTTGGGCAGATACGTCAACACTAGCGTCCATGAGTATCCGCGTCTTTTCTTAGGATCCTCCCTCGGCCGCACCATGGCGGCGTGTTTCGCCATCGTCGCTTGTCAGAGATATGTCAGCGCCTTCTGCAATGACTTGCTGGATTGTACCTGGACTGCCACAAGCAGCAGCTATATGAAGCACGGGTGTGCCGCCGTCCGAGCCAGCCAAGACATCACCTCCTGTGGCAAGAATCAACCCGACCAACTCTTTAGACGCTTGTAAGGCTCGAAATAGTACCGCATCTGCCCCTTGACCCCTAGCATGACATTTGCTCCAGAGGAGAAGCTGTTGCACGTCGGTATAGTTGTCGGCCCACGAAGCGTCGAGGAGAGCTGTTATCTGTTGGGGCATAGCTTCTGGGGGGTTCCAAGGCCAGCAGGGTAGCCGTTGAGACCAGTAGCGTTGGAATGAATGACACGTCCGCACGTCAAGGGAAACTGCGGTCTGATCTGAAATTTGCTGACGTCGTGTCACGGCACGGTTGGATGTTGGATCATTGTGCATTGAGGCAGGGGGCGGCCATGTGTATCAAGTCGCCATGTTGCCAAGACAGCAAGGCACAAGTCGGAGTGGAGTGAACACCTCGTGTAACCGTGTCGCGGGAGAACGAAGACCCTGCTGCGGCTTGGGTGGAGAGTTTGACGGCTCCAGGTGTCAACCGTCAACCGTTCCAACCCTCAAGATCAATTCCACGCATCCTAGGCAAGGACGACATGGTCTCGAGCACCGCGCATACATGGAATAAGCCCAGCCTGTGATGATGACAGGCCAAACAAGCTTTGCGAGCCGCACTGACGCGTGGTCCATAGATCCGTTGCCAGATGGTAAGAAAGAGACAAGACTGAGAAACATGGCATGGGCTGGTCGCCGAAAAATACGAAAGGGACGTCATCTTTGACTGCGCCCAGCCAGAGCCTGGACTGAGGGTACGGTCCGGCCATTGTCATTTGTGACCGCCTCATTTGTCCCTTTAAGCATCTTCGTCCAGGACTAACTGGCTCCACAGCTGCAGCAATAATAAATGCTGGGTCAACACTATCCATTTGACACAGCAGGCATCCCTGGCAATCCCTTTCCATGACGGACAGTCTTGGTGTGGTTGCTAGTAGTCGTTGGCCTTGGCCAAACTGCCCTCTATCGATGCTACCTTGGCTGCCACTTCCATTAAACGGCTGGATGGATGCCCTGTTGATGTGAGAGCAGGACCACAAGACTCTGCTCGTTGCGTAAACCTTCAGCCGGCGGGGAATCCCGCTCGGGATTGGCGCAGGGTTCGGGGCGCGGCGCATTCAGCCAACAGCCTGGCCGTTGTCGCAGGAATGCCAAGCTATCATGTCAAGGATACTGACAGCCGAGAACGAGACGAGGGCTACGGGCGCCGGCGGGGTCTTGTGCTCTCTGGGATTTGGTAATCTGTTTTTGAGTCTGGCTTCTTCTTTTTCCCTGGGGCAAGTCTAGTCTCGAGCGGCCATGAGGATCCCGTCACTCTTGGCATGGCTTTACACGACTCAGCTGCTGGTTCGACTAAAAGAGGAGAAAACGCCACAATGCCATGGTTTTCGGGAGGTTTGTTCTGGTGTTGCTTCTCGCCCAACGCCGTTGATGGAGAAGAGGCCACGGCGTGTGACAAGACCTGTTACGACTCGCGTGTTAAAGCAGTGTGGCCTGCCGACGCAGGACGATGCTTCTGGCTATCGGGTCGTGGGGACATGACAAGTGTCGCCTCAGAAGCACACAAATTGCCAATACTCGACGCGGGGAAGTCGAGGGGCCGAGGCACAATGACTAGCGAGGTAGTACTCCGGTTGCGGCTTATCGACAAGGTTCCTAACTCCCGAAGAGAAAGCCAAGCGCTATTCCCGCCAGTTGGTGCTCAGACGATTCCAGTTCGGCCTCCAGTAAGAGAGCCGCGGATAAAACGACTGATATTGCGTGCAAACTCAGGCTCAAGGGATGTATCGTCTTCTAATACCTCCCCTAGCTTGTTGGCAACCTTATTTATCTGCCTGAGTGTTGTGGGCGTCTCAAAGTCGGAAGAGTTGTTGTGATATAACGGCGGCGGCGATGGTGTTGATGTGTAAATTGCAGCTCGTTGTTCAAGGGCCTCAATTACAGGCTGTGGATTGTAGGGTGAAATTCCAGTTTTTCGAAAGGCTGTGAGAATAGTAGTAGTCTTGAAAGCTTGTTTTCGTACAGCTTGAATGCAAGCAAGGAATTCAATCTTTGTAATATTCAACACGCCGTCTCGAACAATGATATCCAACGCCTTTGCATGATAATGCTTTAGTGGCTGAAATATCACAACATCAAGAGGTTGAAGGATGTGTGTAAGGTGCGAGGGCAACGCAAAGGGAATTATATCGTGCTGTTCGCAGTATTCAACGAATTCAATTGTATGGTGTGATCCGTGGCCATCTAGGATTAAAAGGCGATATCTGCCTATTGGCGTTGCAAATTCCTGAAAATGCTGTATCCAAGCAACTGCAATTTCGTCATTCGTAAAGCCGGTTGGTGAGACTGTTATTTTGGTATTAGCTTCAAGCTCCTTTATCCGATACCAGGACTCCATGTGTTTTTGCCCTGTAAGGATAAGAAAGGCAGGAATAACTTTGCCGCCAGCAGAAATGCATTCTATTGCTGTTGCAGTCTCCCTGTTTTCTGGCATTGAAAATAGATGCGCTCTTCTTCGCTTTGTAACAACTAAATGGTCCTTTCCCATTCCAATACGAAAGCCAGTCTCATCCATATTCCAGATATCTTCAGGAGGGACTCCGTACTGCTGAATAGCCTCTTTAAGCTTGTTGTAATAAGAAAGAGCTCTTGTCACATCTTCTGAAGCTTTTCGACTTGAATCAATCTTTTTTTGAAGACCTTTATGATAGTGATGCCGCTGGATAAAGCGTGTAGTCCATCGCGTTCCAACTTGCCTAGGCGGGGCAGTTGACGATGCCCTCTCTTTTAGGATGTAATTTGCAGCATCTGTAATGAATTCAGGTCGTACAGCGAAGTTGGCCTTATCAAGGCGATCGATATAGTTACATAAAGCAACTTCCTCTTCTCGTGAAAGCATTGTATTTCTTGCTGGATGGCCTTTCCTAGCAGGAACGCCGTTAGCACGTCGTTGAAGCCGGCTACGAGGCACGTTGAATTTCTTCGCCACAGAGCGAATTTTTGCACCTGGATTTTCCTCAATATACTCAAGAGCCTCGTTGACACGTAATTCGACATCGCTTTTTGCCGTTTGGACGCTAGTTGCAGCCATTTTCGCGGTTCAACGCGTCTAGGTTGAAAATTGGCCCGCCTTGGTGTCCGGCCCGCCTTGCTGTCGAGCACCACCTTTGGTGGTGAGGGCTTTTGCTAGCCGAACCACATAAAGTGGGGCGGGCACGATTAGGGCTCTTCAGGACACAACAAACCATTGTGAACTCGCTCCCATCTCTGGGCGTCGTCTTCGCAAACCCCTCAGAACACCATCCTTGCAAGGTGTCTATCTGGTTGATCTTGTTTTGGAGCGGCGTGGCCTGGCCTGGCCAGGCCAGTATTGGCAAACTTGGCAACCCAAGACGACATGCGCGGCGACCGCATGGACTGCCTTGGAGCTGGGCAAGACGCGTCAGTAACGCAGTCCATCCCCAATGCTGAAAGAAAACCTGATGCGCGATCCCGCTAACAGCCATAGTCCGAAGCACACCAGCCGAAATACTTCACTACTCCGACTTCTGCTCACTCGGACGCCCCACAAACGGCGGCAACAGAAAAGATCACCCACCGCCGTCGCTGGACAGGGCAACCTTGCAACCTGCCCAGTGGCTACCCTGTCACCTCGTCGCTTGTGTACGGAGTAGCTACCGAGTTCTCGCTGCTCCGTATGGTTGATAACGCCGCGCCGTCATGAAACTGTTAGCTGGAAAACCTGGTCGCTGCAGGGCAATGGTTATGCTTTGCGTAGCATTCGTCTTCAAAGTTAGAACCTTCAGACCCCTCCGGGAGCCTTCGTCTAGGTAACAACGCAAAACAGTACGCACGACGCCACCAATGCTCCCTACGCCTGGGCCATCGTGTCCAGGTCCAGACACAGTGGAGAAAAAGCCATAACCCATGAGGACTGACACCGGGGAACTGGTAATTAGCGACCCACGCTACCAAGCTGCCGAATCGCTTTCATACTTTATCATGAGGTGTCGCCCGCCTCGACGCCAACGCACATGCAGGCGCTTCCTTCGTCATGCCGTCCTCTGATCAAAATATAGAAGTTGCATGAACCACAATCATGGTGTATGGCGGCAAGCCCTCGCGAGGCTGCCAGATGTGCAGAATTCGCAGAATCAAGGTATGCATTCGTCATCCATGGCGTACTCGACCCTTGTGCTTGTCCAGCTTGGATATAAACCAGTTTGTCTTTCTCGTCTTTGAGCTCCAAAATCCCGTTAACCAGTTCGTATTGATAGTGTGATGAAACAAAGCCTACTTGCATGCAGTGCGCAAAGGCCAGACGGGTATGCCCTGGGTATCGAGATGTCGACAGGCCTCGCCCGGCTTCCACTGAGACTGGTGGAAGCTCACAGGCTCCGGGCAAACCTCGAAAACCAGCATCGAAACCACTGGCAACCACGTCAAAGCGAAGCCATGGGTCATCCCCGAAGGGCACCAATACGTCTTCCTCGCACAGGTCTATTCAGCCTCCGCTAACCGTACCTGTCGACGAGCTCGCGTCGTGTCACTTCATCTCGAACTACGTTTTGATTCCTCGACAATGCTTGGCAACTAGTCGTGGGTTCCTGGAGTTTGTACTCCCCTTGCTAAAAACGGCGGAACCGTCGCAGCATTTTCTCTACGCCTTCAAGGCATGTTCCTTGGCGTCTCTCAACAACCGCGTCGGGACTGGGAATGACTTTGACACCGCTGCCTTGGGCTTCTACACGAAAGCCTTGGCTTGTACCTTCACGGCTCTAAAGGACCCATCTGTGGCGAAGCGAGACGACACTCTGGCTGCCATCTTGCTACTTGGGCTCTTTGAGAACATCACGGCAAAGACACTCGGGATGCTGGCTTGGAGCTCCCACATCGAGGGCGCTATTCAGCTTGTCAAGTCTAGAGGTCAGGAGCAATTACGAAGCAAAATCGGCATGGACCTATTCATTGCAGTCCGAACCCAGATGGTCAGTTACCAGAATCCCGCCGCCGTTTTGTTCCGGTAAAAGCTCATTCTAAGCCAAGGCTAATGGATGATGGCCAGATTATTCATTCCCTCAGTACTGGGAAACCACCAACACTCGACGTAGACTGGTGGGTCGCCGATCCGGTCAGTCACGAGTATAGCATGCAGTTTCAGCAACTCAGCAGTCGTGTAGGAGAGCTCAGGAGCGAGGTCAATGCCCTCCTCGCCACGGTGACTCGGTCATCTGAAAATATAGAGTTGATGAGAGACACAATACAGACTTGCAAGTCTCTGGACAAGGAAGTCGTCGTCTGGCTTCGAGAACTGCCGGAGGAATACGTTTGGAAGGCAGTTGCCTGGGAGCCGTACAATCCAAAGTGCGATTACTCCAAGGCCGAGGTCTTCCCTGGCCGTATCGATACCTACGCCGATTTGTGGGTTGTCAACTTCTGGAACGTTATGCGCTGTATGCGTATTATATTGGCGTCACTTACGATACGCTGCACGGCCTGGATCGACTTCCCTGCCGACTATCGTACGACGGCGGAGTACGCGACGACAGTGAGAACTTGTGTAGAGGCAATCTCAGATATCATTGCCTCGGTGCCATACCAAATGGGGCTCTTCTCCAAGCGAAATGACTTGCAGAAAGCCGCGACGCATTCCGTGTTTGGTTGCGGAGAAGACACATCAGAGAAGGGCCTGGCAGGATATTTCTTGCTTTGGCCGTTGGCTTGCATTCAAGGTCAGGATTATCTCACAGATTCGCAAAGAATTTGGGTCAAGGGGCGCTTGAAGTCGATTGGCAACACTCTTGGTGTGAGATATGGCAACCTGCTGTCTCAGGTACGCAACATCAGCTCCCGAGTCTCTGGGTCAGCGGCCCATGAGGGGCGTGGTGTGCTGCACTTCTTGTATGCTGACTCTAGATAAAAGTTGAACGTCCGGGTACCGTCTATGCTGATTCTCAGGGATCGGCTGAAGAACAATCCTCACGAAATACCAGCCGGCATTGCAGCTTTGACGGCGGGCACGATGGGCGGCGGCGGCCCTCGTCCACTCCCAGGGACTTTGACGGCTGGGGATGCCATGCTTTTGGGTGCCATGCCCAGCGTGTCAAATCCGGGGATATCTGTACCTGGGATGCCCGAGATGGCGTCAGCTCTTGGCGCTTCAGCGGATGCCTTGGCAAAACAGGAAGCGATCCGGAAACAGACGCTTAAGCGTCAAACGGAAGAGCTGGTGACAAAGGCTGTGGAGAGGCCTGGAAAGGTGGATGACTGGACAGTAAAGAGGTGGCTGCAATTGTAGCGCGTCGACATGGTTCGCCATGAAGTAGACAAGCGGTTGCTGCTTTCGCGGAAGAATACGACGTGGGAAAGGCATGATGATGGCTGTGCTGGTGTGCGATCAGGAGTCAGGACGGCCAGGTGGTGTTGGCTGGTCCTGCTACCATGCCGTCGCATCCCAGGCATCTGACCGCCAAGTCAAACAAAAACCAAGAAAGTCAACGAGGCTAGCCGTAAAATAATCGCAGATAAACTAGACAGCAGTTGATGACCATCATCTCATTGTTCGACCGGGCTAGTGAACATGAAGCTGGCACCTGCGTTCTGTGGCGCCGATAGTCCTCCAGGGTAGCCCGCAAGGATGTGGAGGGCAATTAAAGTGGAGACGCAACACCATGTCGGGACTCTGCACTCGGGATGGGAAAAAAAGCCTGGTGCGTTTGTAAATATTCAAAGAGCCATTCAGGGCCATGCCACTTCCACCTTCAGCATGAGCGGCGTCAAAGACATCACGCCCGACCTCGACAGACTGGACTCGCAGCTGGACAGGCTCGAAGACGCGCTGGCGCCGCTGCTCAGAAACCTCGGCGACAAGGCCTCTCAGCTGCCGCTCCTCGACAGGGCCAAGCTCTTCTCCCTGACGGCCTACTCGATCGAGTCCCTCCTCTTCTGTAAGCGCGCGCCGCTGGCGCTGCCCGTCCGTCTGGCAAGGACGCCGCCGTTGCTGACTCGGGCCCCGTGCAACAGCCTACCTGCGACTCCAGGGCGCGGATGCCCAGGGCCACGCCGTGTACGCCGAACTGAAGCGAGTGCAGCAGTACTTTGGCAAGATCCAGGCCGCCGAGGAGCCGGAGGCGCAGAGGACCCTGGTCGTGAACCAGGAGGCCGCGGCTCGGGTCCTGAAGGCTGACTTGGTACGTGGATTGTTCTGGCTGGCTCTGGCCTCGGTGGACGAGCGCGACGGGACGACGTGAGAGAGAGCTGACCGGCCCGTGTTCCTTGCCGACTTGTAGGCCGACAACAAGTCCATCAGCAGCAGGTTGGCGGAGAAGATTGCCGAGGAGCGCGCCAGGGCGCTGCTTAAGTCGGTGGAGGGCAGGAAGCGGCCTGGCGGTGCTGATGATGCCGCTGCGTCGGGGGGATCAGGCAGCGACGCGCAGGGGAACAGGAAGAGGAGGCAGAAGGGCAAGGCGAGGGCGAAGCAAAAGTGAGGTGGGCACCGCGCACAGCAAGTCGGGGCCGTACGGGACAGGGACAGGGACGCCGTCGAGGGCAGCAGTCTGCCGGCATTGCTGGACGGCCGCCGCTGTTGCAATGGACACGAGACACCCCCTCGTCGTTTGGCCCCTTTGTTGTCGGGGTTTGCAGTCGTGATCATCTTCGCGGAGCGCGGCGTCGGGATACACGGTTTCGATAATGACATGTACGCTTGGATAGCAAGTAGTTACTCCATGCTTAAAGTGCCCGTGACAAAAGACGCTGCTCCACCGCGTCGGGCGAACTGGCCTGCGGGCGCCAACGAGGTGAATATGAAAACAGCGAAAGCCAATGCTGTCCCTGGCACGTTGCCAAACCCTAACCCTGGACCTCTGCCCCGGCCCGTGACCGCCCGGCGAGCGGCCTGGCAAACCCGCCTCCTCCCATTGGCCAGCCGCCGACGCCCCAGAACATGGCCAACCCTCCTTCTCCGAGCTTCTTCACTTGCGTTTTTTTTCCCCTTTCCACCACCGCAACTCTCGTTTCCTCCTCACCAGCCGCAAGCACCGCATCGCCGCATCACCAAACATGCCTCGCAACAGATCCGTCGGCCACGCTCCCGCCCCCTCACGGGCACCCACCCGCCCGACGGTGCCTGCCTCGGGCCCCATGCCGCAGCAGCAGCGCCCTGCCGCGACCATGGCAGCTCCCACGCAGCACGCTCCCCAGCAGATGGCGCCCGCGCCCTCGCCCGCGGCATCACAGGGCCCCGGGCTTTTTGGACAAATGGCCAGCACCGCCGCGTACGTATCCCTCGAGAGAAGACGAACCGACGCCGCGCCCGGGCCGGGGGGATGAGATTCTCCCGGGGCCACCGAGTCCTACATCCTCCCCTGCCCTTTCCCGCACAAGGAGTCTCCTCGTTCTCGCGCCCCAACGTACAATGAAAAAAGTACCACGCTAACATGCCGATGCAGTGGCGTCGCCATCGGCTCATCCGTCGGTCACGCCATTGGCGGCCTCTTCTCGGGCGGCTCTTCGGAACCCGCGCCGCAGGCCCAGGCCCAGGCGACGCAGCAGCAGCAGCAGCAGCAGCAGCAATGGGGCAACAACTGCCAGTCCGCGACCCAGCAGTTCACAAAGTGCATGGACGACAACGGCGGCAACATGCAGATTTGTAATTGGTACCTGGAGCAGCTGAAGGCTTGCCAGGCCGCCGCGAGCCAGTACTAGACGGCAGACGGCAGACGGCCCCCGGAAAAGAACACTGCAAGTGAAGGGGTGCGGAGGGACAAGAGAAAAGGCGGACAGTGTACTCATGTTGAAACCGACGATACTAGTCCACAAGGCCGCTGTGCCAGTGGCCGGGGTATACAAGCACAGGCCTGTCTGGAGAAGCTACACCGACGCGGGCTCGGTGGTTACTGCGTTGTATTATTAGACGGTATTTGCTACTGGGAGAATGTCACCCCTTGATGTCCTAGCAAGGGGTCTCGGTTTGCACGGCGAATGTACATCACCACGATACACTCTTTGTTCTACTCGGCATGTAGGGCCATATTTGACGGACTGAGGAAGAGCAACGAGGTGGGACCTGCACCGGCAGAGTATCCAACTCCGCGCCCTATTCCATGTTTGCTGAATGCAAAAAGTCCGGCAATATGTTCATGCATGTTATTTTGGCATCCTGTGACTGGCTATACATTACGCTTTTACGTTGCCACATCTCGGCGGGCTATTCATCCTCGTCAGGCCTGGGCTCAAAGTTCAACTGCGACTGCGTTAGCCAGCGCAACGATACACCAGCAGAACAATGCTTACCGAATTACCGTTATACAGCTGGTGGTCCCGTCTTTGATCATCGGGATTCTCAAACCCGCGGACGCGACGGCTCTTGGCGTGTGCAGAGGCTACATCTGACTCTTGAGGAGCCATGTCGTGGCTGTTGCGGCCACCACCTCCACCAAGACCAATCAAGCCGAGGAGCCGGGCGAGAAAAGCTAATATTGAACCAAGAATCCAGGAAAGGACCCCTTGTGACGAGCCGTCATATGCCGAAGAATAGCTTTGGACATGGATCAGAATAAGAGTAGACGAAGGAGACAGGCCCATGTCTCCTAGCGACTTTTCCTCTTCTGTTTCGTCAATCGATCTGTTGGGTAGCGGTGTGAGTAGTTGCGTGAACGTGTAGGGCAGTCGGCCGTCGGTCCTGTTCTCGTCGACCCATTTTCGAATCTCCTTGACAGGATCCGAAGTCTTGAACCGCGATCGGACCGTCGAGCCGTCAAACAGTCGCACTTGAATAGAAGTAAGATTGCTGTTCCTGGCCACCGTTGGCGCTCTCAATGGGGACGCGGTGCCGACTGGCAGGGAGGAGTCAGATCGTGAGTGGATTTCCATCCTTTGCTGCTCTCGTTCCGCGGCCCGCTGACGCCGTTCCTCTTTGTCGTCCTGGATGCGCTTCAGAATACGCCTCCGGTCCTCTACTTCTTGCTGCTTTTTCTTCCTGGCCAATTCGGCTTGTTTCTGCGCACCCTCACTAGCTTCCGCTGCCGCCTTGGCCCTCCTCCTCGCCAAGTCTTCCTTGGCCTTTTGTTCGGCAGCCGCCTTGGCGGCTTCGAGTTTCGCAGCTCGCTCTTCCAGGACACGCCGTACGTTTTCTGATTGCTCTACTGTCGGTAGAGTGCCACCCGAGTGAGGCGAGGCGGGGGGCGAGGACGAAAGCGCATCCGAGGCAGGTTGCGCCGTGTGAGGTGGTGATACGTTGAACGAGTTTCGAATTCGACGGAGGAATTCGTCTTTGGTAGTCCCTGCAGCTACGTACTCTTTGAGTTCGCCATGCTTCATGATGACAATTGTAGGTGTCTGAGGAAGCGGGAAGATTTGGGCGAGATAGCCAGCTTCCTCAGAGCCAGCCCTCAAGCGCAAGGCCACGGCCTGCTTGGCAATCACGGCTACCAACTTGGTGCGAGTTAGCAGTGGGACCACTCGTCCCCCCATGTTTTGGAAGGGCGGCGTACTGAGGGATCTTGCAAGAAGTCACTTTCCCAGATGTTGCTCTCGTCGTATTCATCTAGCCGAGTCAGCAAAGGAGCTCCACCCGGGCATATATTGCCAAGGAGACCTACTCGTCACGAAGCACAAGACCATCTTCTGCTGTCCAACAGCCGCGGAAATCCCTTCCTGGAGGGAGCCCTCGTAGAACATGGTGGCTAGCCGAGACGGAGCTGGCCGATGAAGGAGTGGGCATACACAAATGTGGCAATGTGGCAATCTGCCCGGGCGATGGATGCTCAAACGCCAAGTTGGCGGGCGAAGGGGCGGGCCGACAGTAATGGTTAGGGCCGCAAACGGGCTTGAACGAAACGGATCAATGGCAGGGATGAGCTGGTAGGATGGAAATGGCGTCGTATCTCATCTCATGGCAAGGTGAAGGAGCAACAGTATACAAAAACAGAGAGCTTGCCGTCTCGAGGCTTCCAAGCTTTGGACACGAGGTTGCGTGGGCCACCGCCTCGGGCAGGCGGTGAGCGGCGGATCGGCCGTAAGAGTTAATCCGGGCCCAGAGAACTGGTTTGGACCCATCATATAAGGTGGCATACCGCACAAAATAATGTGGCGTGGCCACACCCGTTTTTTGGTGTGACGGCATGATGGGTCGCCTTTGATAACAAGAGCAGACACAGCTCTCTTTTTCTTTTCTTTTCTTTTTCTTATACAATTAAAGGCTTTTTGTTAATGTATACATACATGCAACGTTGCCGCAGCGTCCATGCTCGGATGACGCCACGGAATATTCCACCGGTTTGCGGACCCAGGCAACGATGGAGTGGATGGAGAGCAGCGCTAGCCCGCGTGGATGAGAGAGAGAAGATGCCATGGGGTATCGGGCATGGTACTCCGGCCAGCCTTGCAGATCTCTAGCAACAGAGTACTCAGTCAGCAAAACCGAGGCATAGGCCAGGGCTTTTGCAAGCCATATCCGGAGCGACCAAGGCCGACGCCGTTGGCAACGTTCAGCGACGTGTGCTTTACACTATCCGGAGCGAGTTTTGATCCAAGCCTTGGGATATTTTACAAATCACTGCTTCAGCCCCCGTAACATCAGCCCAATGGGAATACGAGAGTGGCGCAACTCGCCGTGCTCCAGCCCACGACTAGGATATCCAGGATATCGGACCTCCATCATCTCCACCTGCATCTGCATCTGCGTCATGAAGGTCCCGCAAAAAGTGCACAGTTGCGGCCACTCCGAATGAATGTACGGAGCGCGCAGCACCCGCCTCGTGTCGGCGGAGATTTTGTCGAAAGTTGGCCTCAAAAACGCAAAATTAAAGTGACATATCGCCCGGCGCATGGCAACGTCTCTGCAGCCTCGTTTCACGCCGCATAACCTGGGCTGCTGACTAGCCGGCTCCAATGTCTCCGTCTGCGTCTGCATTGTCCCGTTTTTAATCCCAGGTTGCTGCGTGATGAGGGACCCCGTCTGGCCTGAGCGAAGGAATGTAAACTTTAATTTTATACGTGTGCAACTTTGGCACTCGGATTGACGCTCACAAGCTGAATCTGGACCGCGCGCAAGTACGGAGTAGAACCCGCAGGCATTTGGCATGTATAAAGAGCCCAGTTCCAAGGCGAAGAGGAAATTCCAGTCCAACCGACATTTATTTGGCCATCTGGTTCTCTCACTAGCGTTTCAGCCGTTCCCCCCGTCTGTCCCTCGCCAACCCGTAACGGAAAGAAAAATGAAGTACACACAGCTCATCTTGGCTACTTTCGCTACGCTGGCCCTGGCAGCGCCCTGGGCACAGGTAGAACTGGTACGCCGATGCCGCGACTAGTCAGTCGTACGCACGGGTTGCTTAAAGGAAAGAGGAAAAGAAGAAGGGGAAGCTGACCCTTGTTCTCGACACCAGACTGTAGACGACGTTCTGCGAGACTCGCTTGGAAGACTCAGCTGCGAGCAACGCGATGTAACGGAACCCCCTGACGCCCATGACCAAGGATTGCCCGAGACTGATACGACAGCCGGACAAAACACAGGATAAGCTTAGTTGTACATCGACTGGCGACGAAGTAAGCGACTCCACGCCCACGCCCTTTGCTGGACGGCAGGCAGGCAGACGGCCTGATGATTCACTAACACACGACAATGACAGCCCGGTGATGACCTCAGCCATCGCTGCAGAGCACATGGCGGTGTGAGTGCAACGGCCGACGACCCTTCCTTTGCGTGTGCCTGATGAGCATGCGAAGCACACATACACGGTTGCTGACGAGGTGCCTATAGTGCAAATGCTACTCGGGCCTCAGGAGTTTTGCCGTAAGTCTTTGCGCCGAAACTCGTAGCTGTGATCTCTGACACGTCAATCAATCAACCCTAGCTCAACTACGACTGCGTTTTCATCTAGGTCCCCAGGGGCCGGAAAGCGCCGGGGTTCCGTTCCGCGTCGGCCCTTACCACCGGTCCGGCATGACGGGAAGATTCGAGGCCAAGGTGCCGTGGAACGCGGCGGTAGGCGTGGGATCAAGATGCAGGCTCATGCCTCACCTTCATGTACGAGGTTTCTGATCGTTGGACAAGATGGAGGGGGTTGGTTAGTCGGAGGAATAGCTGCCAATACACGACGTGTCTTGTAGCTCTGCCGAGCTGCACGGCATGTCCGTTTAAAGTTGGACTCGACGGCGTGAGTGTGACGACGTGTCTGCGCAACGACGTCGAGGTCGTGACTTGAACGTGACGGGTGACGGATGACACCAGCATCCTCGCGACTTGTGAGCATTGTCGTGAGCCATCCGTCATCCATCATCCAATCCAATCCACAGACAGACAGACGCGGGTGGGGCGCGCGCCTCAACACCACGACTTTCCGAACCACCACCCGTCCGCGTCTGTCGTCGTCATCATCATCATCATCTTCTTCTTCTTCTGCCTCCGACACACCGCTCCGCTCCGTGCATCGACCGACGCCGCCGCGGCCACAGGCCACGCACCAGCATGAGCAGCCTCGGCAGCCTCGGCCGCCCTCGCCGCCTCTCGTCCGCGCCGGCAGACGCCGCCACGGCCCGGGCATCCTCCTGCTGGCCCTGATCCCCGCGACCGCCTTCGCCCTCGGCACCTGGCAGGTCCAGCGGCTCTCGTGGAAGACGGACCTCGTGGCCAGGCTCGAGGACCGCCTTGCGCGCGACCCGCTGCCGCTGCCGCCGTCCGTCGACCCCTCCGCCCTGCACGACTTCGACTACCGCCGCGTCCGCGTGACCGGCACCTTCCGCCACGACCAGGAGATGCTCGTCGGGCCCCGGACGCGCGACGGCAAGGACGGCTACATGGTCGTCACGCCGCTCGAGCGCGACGCCGCCTCCACCATCCTCGTCAACAGGGGCTGGATCGACAGGGCGCACCGCCTCCAGGCCTCCCGCCCCGACGGCCTGCCCGCCGGCCGCGTCACCGTCCAGGGGCTCCTGCGCGAGCTCTGGAAGAAGAACCTCTTCACGCCCGACAACCGCCCCGAAAGGCGCCAGTTCTACTTCCCCGACGTCGAGCAGATGGCTGGCCTGACGGGCAGCCAGCCCGTCTGGGTCGAGGTCACCATGGGTACGTGCGGCCTCTCCTCTCCTCGACAGACGGACAGGCAGACAGACAGACGGCGGCCTGCTGACCTGTCCCAGAACCCGACTACATACGAATGGCCGACCACGAGGCGAGGGGCATCCCCTACGGACGCCCGGCAGAAGTCAATCTGAGAAACAACCACGCCCAGTACATCTTCACCTGGTACGCTCGGTGCCGCGTCCCCCTCCCCATGCAGCTCAGCTCAGCTTCGTCGTGGCGTTCGTCGCTCGTCCAGATCCATCCCCGTTGCTGACACTGCACCACGCACAGGTACGGCCTGTCCTTTGCCACAGCAATCATGTTGTACATGGTTCTCAAAAGGCCATCGTCCACCATTACACGCCGTCTTCAGGCCGCCAAAGGACTGTAATTACACGTGAGCCAGCCGTGTCGGCCGGCCAGCAGGGGTATTCTTGTAGCAGTAGGCAAGACAAAACACAACAGAAAGGGAAAAAAAAAGACCCAGCAAGACGGTGTCCTTGCATGACAGCAGACGCACCCCATCCACAATGATGTAATCTATAACCGCGGGCCAGAGGAGCTCACGACATCTCCGAGCTGGCCTCCGTCGTCTCATCATCTCGTAGCCGTTTGCGGCGCGCGCCCACGCTCTGCACGGGCATCCTCAACTCCTGCAGCAGCTCCCTCGGCAAATGTCTCTGCGCAAGCGAAAACATGGTCCTTTCAGAAGTAATCTGACGTTGTCTGTGCGCGGTCAGAAACTGCCTGCAGGGACAATCACCTCCCCAAATATGAATGCGGCGCAAGACATACCTTCTCATCAACGTACCCATGTCGCTCTCCTCGATGGTCTTGCGTTTTGCGTGGTTCGCATAGGCACCCAAATCATCCCCCAGTTGCTCAAAGAACCACTCCGACGCTTGGGTCAGCGCCGTCAGCGTATCGGCCGATATCCGTGGGTTACTGAGCCCCGAGGACTGGAGGGCTGTCTGGGCTACTCTTTTGACAAACGTCGGCGGCAGCGCCGGGTATTCTACGCCATGCCTTGACACTCTCCGTTGGCGTTTTTTGGGTTTTGACAGCCCCCTCGGCGGGTTTGCCACCGACGACGCTTCGGCTGGTCCCTCCTCATCCGCAGATCGGTCCTCGATTTCCTCCGCGTATGGCTCGAGTTCGTCCTCGTCATCATTGTCCTCCGCACGTCTCGGCTCCGCCTGTGTGATTGGGACCGGATCAGGGTCATTGTAAATGTCCACCATCTTGTCGTCGTCGACGTCTGGACCGGAGGGTCCTGTCAGCGTGACGTCCCCGATGCCAGCCTGATTGGCGGCGTGGTTCGCCGCTGTCCCAGCTATGGATGCTTCACGCACGAGCGGAGACGTATCACCGCCATCTGCTGGCGGCTCCGACATCATAAAGGTCGTTTCGTCCGCGCCGGGTGGTATTTGCAGTCCGAATTCACTGTCGCGCCTGTTGATTGTATTTCGCCTCGACTCATCGTCGATCCTACGCCATGTCGGGGTTCTCTGTTAGAGGAGAAGCGAGGGCACAAAAGAAGGAGGGAAAAAAGCCAGCAAACCGCACCATACCGATTGATTGTTTGATTGCCACCCGCAATCGCCTGAGCCCGTAAATTGTCCAACAACGTCCCAGGGAAGAAATCCGATACTCTCCCCATGTCCGTGGTGACCTCGTTGGGATCAAAGGCATCACTGTCGAAGCCGGCGCCAAAGTCTGGCGCGGAAAGTCTGCTCGGCTGCTCGCCATACACCCGTCGAGGCTTTTCGACAACTGGGAGGGTGTTTTCTGTGTGTTGTGATTCCAAGCCCGAGGAACGCGGTGGCACCAAGTCAGATTCATCCTCCTCCTGGTCAATTGGCAGCGACAGACGCGGTCGGGGCAAGTCGGCCTCGTCATCATCTTCCTCTTGGATTGGCGCGAAGCTCGAGCGCTTGTCCTGCGGCGGGGACGACGACACTATGGGCTTGCTGCCGGGGGCCAGCACGCCAGCCAGACGTCCCAAGAGACCCATCGGGGTTTCCCTCTGGTCTACCAGGCTTTGGCGCTTCATCTTGCCCGGGGTGAGAAGGGCATTGCGGCGCTGATGGAGGGCCTGGCGCGCGGCTTTGGCGTGAGGCGTCGGGGCATTGTTGCGATGACCGCCGGATGCTGAGACGCCGCGTCGGACGGAGTTGAGAAGTTCCCGGGAGGCGGTACGGTCGAGCGGCGTATGAAGGACAGAGCGACGTGACGAGGGCGGATCGGCGCTGACGGCGCGACGGGGATTTGGGGTTCGGGCTGCGGCAGGCGTTCGTGAGGGAGTCTTGGTACGCGAAGAATCTACGGTTGGGGGCGACGACTCGGTGGAGTCCATGCCGGGATAGGCCTATGGCAGTCGGCGTACGGCAAAGAGAGATGGTCCAAGCAGGAGTGAGTGAGCTGTTTGAACTTAACGACGTGAGTGCGGGTGCGGATGCGGATGCGGATGATGCAGGACGCGGACCGCAGATCGCAGGACGCGATTGAGATGTTGGAGCTCGAGAGGCGAGGCGGGGCGGGGCGGGGCGGCCGTCAACCTCGAGAACCCACAGATTCGGGGCGCCGCCTATGTATCTCGGTACTCGGGTGGCGGGGCTCCTAGGTACTTAGTAAGTACTGAAGCACCCAGCACAATAGGCATGCCTGGTTGAGCCGCCAGGAGCTACAAACCATGACAGCCGATTCGAGTACCTTGGTACTTAGCTGCTCAAGTACTTCTTAGGCACGTACCGCTCCGTATAAGAAGGATACTTCAGTAAGTACCTAACTTACTTGACGCCATGCGCACGAGTCGTCTTACCAACGTCAAACTGGCAATCATCATCCACTTCCACTTCCTGATATCAAGCTCAAGGCACCGAAGCTCATCACGCGTCTGGCCACTCGCCATGCCACCACTGACGAGCTTCCGAGACGTCCTGAACTCAGTAGTATCCGTCAACACACCGCGAGACTCCCCTACAAACCAACTTTGTTCCCCAAGCAGAAGGATATGATACATCACTTTCCGACTCGACTTTCGCAGGACTGTCCGGCCAGCAGTCTCATCTGTCGGGCGCGCGGGCCCGACTTGAGGCGCGGGTTCCCGGGTCTTGACGTGGCCGCGAACCTCCAACGAGGTTGGGTTTGAACCCGTCTTGCATGCTGGAGCCTTCAAGGGACACGGACATGTTGAGACGCCGAGTGAACCGACGCTACAACAGAAAGCTCAAAGCTGGCGTTGCACCCGCCTCCACGCGGGAGCTGGTTGCTGACAGAACAAAGAAACTTGGTCACCCTTGCTTCCATCTTGGAAGTTCGGAGCTCGGCGTCGGCGAACGTTAGGATGAAGCGCTCGAGTGGGTTCGCGGTCATGAGTGCGTCGGCGGCGCCGGAGATACAACATGGTCGTTTCTTTCCACGTTGACGCTCGCCATTTGCGTCAAATGGCCCCGGTGGTAAACCAAACAGGGCTGTGATGGCCTGATCAGCTTGCTGAAGGTTCCCACGGATGGTCGTTGAAATGTTGACCAAGGGCGGAAGCGTAGTACTGGGTTCACAGTCTATGAAAACACCTCGCCGTTTCACGCCTTCCGGTGACATGAAAATAACAATAATAAAAAAACAACACGTAGAATAGAAGAAAAGACACAGGCCTCCGTACCTACTCTGTAATGTCTACTATCCACACGCCCCAGCCACCTGGGGTAGACTGGACAAACACGTCAACATCGACTGTAACCGACGAGTTGATCCGAGAGCCACAAGGAGTCCTGAACTTGCTTCATGTGATGTCGCTCGTCAGAGGCCAGAATCCGCATCTGTGATACCCACCAATCTGCGGCACACCTGAGAACCCCCCCTCGCGCTTATCCCTCCATTGCGCTGAGCCACCACGGCTACGTCTATTCTTAGAGTTGACGTTCGTCTCATCTCCCCTCGGATCAAGTACGTAGTTGCCTGTTCCTGTAGGCGCTTGCTTGCCACTTTTGCGTGGCATCTCTAGACCCTCGGGAATTGGGATGACTGACACCCGAACCCGCCAACGACAACCGACTACGTATTCGTTCCTATTACGATTCAGAAAGAGTCGAGATGCATCCGTAGTACGTAGGCGGCGGACATGGCTCCGAAGTTGCCCGCCCCCCCCCTTGGGCTTGGTGCTCCATTCCTGGGTTGCCGGCCTTGTGCCATACGTTTAGATTAATGCAATGTTTTGTACCGACTTCGAAGCATCCATCACCAGCAAACGTACCAGCATGAGGGAGACTCGACCCACCAACAAGACATGGGCCAACGGCAGTTACAATTCATCAATTGACTGACAATGACCCAGGTTCTCCGCAACTCGCAGTCTGCAGTATTATTCCCGTCCTCGGCTCCCGCGCGTCGTGGCTCCAGATTGTGACCAGTCTATCCGCACCTTGAATACGACCGGGATGCTTCGTAATCCGTCCTGGTACTATGCATGTGTCAAATCCTTTCCAACAGTAGGATCACTACCGAGATTGCACAATACCCACCAGTTGACGGCCACTCACATGTAACCATTTCTCTGCACGTCTCCAGTGTCGTTGCATGCACAATCCAAGACTCCCTTCATCCTACATTTCGTAGCCATGCCATCGCAGAGGACTACAGCCCTGTTGAAAGCCTTGTTGGCATACTCCGTACCCAGAGTCCTATTCCATCATGCGCGCCCTGGCCATCTGCAGGTGGTCTGATCAACCAAATCATGCCAATACGTAGTACTATGTGCAGAGCACGTACTCGGGCCCTCATGTTGGCCTGACCTGACCAGGTCCTCCTTGGCTGGACCGGGAACGTGGAAAATTACGCCCTTGGTTGCCTCAAGCCTCGTGTCACCGTGTGAACTCGCCAGGTCGCAGGTGCCAGGCGGCGGGGCAATGTTGGTAAGGCCAACATGGTCAGCCTGGTTCGAGTCTTGTGCCATAGTACTAATCAGGCGTGCCCCTGTCCTGTCCAGCTTCATTTTTCCATCCCTGGCCGATCAAGCGGTTCTGTACTCCGTACTCCATGTGCGCAGGCGGTGCCTTTTCCCCCTGTGCAGCACGAGATCCAGATTCCAATTTTACCCCGTTGTTGCTTTTTAATTGCAGCAGCCGATGGTTGCCCGTGTAGATAATGTGTCGACAGTGCCCATAGCATGTATCCGCGGAGCCTCTCTCTTCGTCTTGGGCCGCCTTTTTCTGCTCGAAACATCTCGTTCCTTCAACTGACGAGGCACCATCTTCTTGTCGGCTGCGAAGAAATGGCTGATCTTTGCTGTCTTTTGCCGTGTCTGCATAATTTGACCTACGACAAGCCTCGACTTTATGTCGGGCTATATGTCCGCGGCAGCTCGGCAAAAATGTCTCGCAGAGAAGACTCGTATGCGAATCACAAGAACTCTGAAGGCTAGCATAGCTAGGTGCCTGCTAACCAGATTCTCATAGTTATCATTGGGCCCTTTTGTCTGGGCCGAACAACCATCTCAAATCAGATCTGCAGCTTACCATGTACCATGTCAAGGACAAACTGGTAATAAAGGGTGAGCCAAAGGCCGCCAGCTCAGTATGGGAATACTCGGTCGAGTCGGACCGGTCTTCATTGCTATTAGCTCATATAGTGGTGGGAAAGATCCGTGACATACATCGACTTGAAGATATTTTGCGATCTGTTCCTGTGCGTAGCAGCAAAGAAGGCTGGAACTCCATTTCCTGGGTTCAAGAGGCTTTTCGTCTCGTCTCTGTTGCGCCGGGTGTTCTCGGTTCTCATATAGAGGACTGGGAAGAAATTCGACGAACAGCCATGTCTTATGTCGACGAGAAAAAGGCTAAACATCGGTTCGACGGCTTAGGTAGATTCGACCTTTCCAAGCCAGCCACGTGGGACATGCTCCAGGGCAAAGAGGTGGCTGTCTAAGATGAAGCAGTCGTTCAAGCAGAGGTGGTTGTCTTTTGTTTAGGCAGACGACGGGCAGGCCTTTACTACTGTGTTGGAGGCCAAGTTATCGTTCGTCTTAGCTACCGGGTATATCGTCATTTTTATGTCACAGAGTTCGAAGAGAGACGGGATACCAGATGGAGGAAATCAAGGTGTCGGCGACCTATGCTTTCCAGAGGTCTTGTTTTCAAATAAGAGATAAATTGTCTGGGTTGGAGGTTATAAGACAATTGGGGACAAGTAGTCATGCTAAATCGATTACTTCTTTTCACAACTACGACACGAGGAAGCTCACCTGCCTGAACGAAGAAGACGATGAACCGGCGACACGCAGGTTGACACGGCGGACGACTGCATTTTTGCGTGTACAAGTAGTCATCTACCATTACCGTTCGTGACGGCTCGAGGTATTGACTTGTTGGTGGTGTCTAGCCACCCCCTCTGTTGGTGTCAACGGGTTGGATGGTAGTCGGCAATAGCCGAGCTTCGCTAGCCATGTCACATCCCTCCATCACCTTCGGGGCCGGTCCGTGTGTGGCGTGTGGAGATGGATGGATGCCTCCATTCATGTTAACTGGTGGCCACGGCCGCTGGGAAAAACAAAAACAAGAGAATTTGACCATGCAGAATAGGGACGAAGCCTAGATGGAAAATAAAGAAGGCAGAAAAATCGGCAGAGACATTGCAGGTGGCATCGTTTGGGCGAATGGTGAAACTATTTACGCCGCGCTGTGGGGGTCGTCGGCTTTCTGTTCGTGCTTTTTATCATTGCACCGACATCTTGGTTGTCCGATATGTTGAGATGTTGGAACCGATGCTCGACCGAACTCGCGCGAAGCTTTTTTAAGGCGCTGGACCGTGATCTCATCTGAGACATCATGGGCGCGGACAAAATGGGAAAATGTGTAAGGGGATGCGTCGCTGTTACTTCGGAGCACGCAGTCTTTGGGAGCTTGTTTTATTTTCGCTTTGTTCCTGGCAGGATGTGTGGCTGTCGTAATTGCAGCGTGCCTCGTTACACCTTCATGTCAAACAACTCGCTTCTCAATGGCGCGTCTTCGAGTGGCTGAGGCGACACAATCAAAACTCCCCTAGAGCCCTTCAGGGACAGCTTCATGGTCCGTTAAGCATGGATTCCTAGCAGCAGAGCGTGATGGAAACCACCTACAGCAGCAAGTTGGCGGGAGTAGATGCTCAAGGTGGTGTTTAGAGCTTGGCTGAGGATGGTAAAGACATTTTCCACAGCGGGGTTAGCCGAGATGGTCTTGGTTGATGAACTGGTGACTCTCGTGATCTTTGTCTTGGTTGGTTGGCTGGCATGCGTCGCGCTTTGCTTCAGATCGAGAGACACAGTGTCGATTGTCGTTTCAGGCAGCGCCAAGAGCTTAAGCGGTCGTGGCTTCCCAATTTGACCACCATGCGCACCTATGAAGTGAAGAACCTTGCTTGAGGTTCCAAATGCGGCGTACGTCCAAGTACCTGTAGGCACGGAGGATGCAGCCCCAGAGGGGCTCAGACTCTACTCCGTACGGAGCTCAGAGTGTGTGGCAATGGGCAGCAAGGCAATGCACGATGCAATGATGAGATGCAGATACTCCGTATGCCGACAGGCAAATGAAGGACGCGACACGTAAACCGCAGCCTCGTTTGGTGGTTGGCCATTTCGGGCTTTTTATTTAAGTTTGGGTGACATGTGGACGTGGACGTCGAAGACGACGTGAACGGCCGGCGGTTCGCTGCCAGCTTTTGTTGACTTGTCACATGCCTTTACCGGTGCCGGGGCCAGTTCGATCCGGGTACATGACGGCCACGTAACGGCACGCATTATGACGCGCTGCTCTTGGGTTACTGCTGTGCGTGCCAGGTACCCGCACCTAGGTACACAGTACTTGCGTCCGAGCCTCGGATACTTGGGGGGGAACTTGGCTTCCTGTACTCCGTACCGCCACCTCATCAAATCCAAGAAGACACTCCTCCGTACGGAGTACTCCCTACCAGACTCCGTACGAAGAAACCGATAGCGCTGTCACTGATGAGGAATCGACCCTAATCACCTCACCTGGAGTCGAGTGCTCCCATTACCCAGGAGCCCGGTCACCTCGCCCATCTCCACCGCGAGAGCAGCCACGTCGGCGCTAGTGCACCAAATCGACAGCCCTCGAGACATCATCCACACAGGATCGGGCGTCTCGAGGAGAAAGCCGGGCCAAATCTGTTACGCCATACGTTACCCTGGCCTGCCTGCTTTGCTTGTCTGGGATCTGGGAGGCTCCATCAAGAACACCAGAAGCCTCTAGCCAAAGGGAGCGTCTGGTCTGGGCTGGCCCGGTCCGTTCACTCAATCACCACCGCCTGCTAGTCGTCTTGCCCGCTTCGTCCCCTCGTGCAGCGTCGTGCTCCTGACAGAGGCCCGAAGCCACGCCTGAAGCCTGAAGCCTGAAGCCTGTGGCCTGTGGCCTGTGAAGCCTGAACCGTGACCTCGTCTTCCGATTGCCCCTGGACCGCGATTGTCGACTGTCAACCGTCGACTTTCGACTCTCGACTCTCGACTCTCGATTCTCCATTCTTTGTTTTACTTGCAAGCTCTCCTTGCCTATTGTTTGGCTCGGCCTGCTCAGCCGCCCGCATCTTCCTCGCCATCTGAAGCACGAGCGCTCGACCCTTCTCTTCTTTCCTCCGCCGCCACCGACCACACACCATCCACACCAACCACCTCCCCCCGACTCCTCAGACTTCCCCTTCCACAACCTCGCATCGGGACAAAGCTGCCCAGTACCGAACGTCATCCTCGGCATCAAAACAGAATGGCCCAGCCCAACGTTCAATCCCTGAAGGTTTGCTTGCCTGCTCCAGCTCAAGCGGCGTTCATGCATGATTCATTTTGATCCCAAGCTGACCGCTAATCCCTCTCAAATAGTGCGTCGTGACCGGTGACGGTGCTGTTGGCAAGGTTCGCATCCCGAAACCGACACTTGTCCCTGCCCAACCCTGTTCCCACAACCGTCAAGGGACTCGCAGAGGCTGATGACCCTTTGCAGACATGTCTTCTCATCTCATACACGACAAATGCCTTTCCCGGGGAGTACATTCCCACAGTGTGAGCCGGTCCCGGAAGTCGCTTCCCACAGCTGCGAATCAGCGCAAGAGACATGGGCTGACGCACACCAGCTTTGACAATTATACGACGAGTTTAATGGTCGACGGCAAGCCCATCAGCTTGGGACTGTGGGATACGGCTGGCCAGGAAGACTACGATCGATTGCGCCCCTTGTCATATCCCCAAACCGACGTGTTCCTCCTTTGTTTTTCTTTGATAAATCCTGCGTCATTTGATAACATTCGGTCCAAGGTACGCTCAACTTGTTCACATTGCTTGCGAGTATCGTATGCTGACCGCTGGCCAATCTATAGTGGTACCCCGAGATTGATCACCATGCCCCTAATATTCCCATCATCCTTGTTGGTACCAAACTCGATTTGAAAGAAGAGTACGACAGAAGAGATGATGCCGAAAAGAATGGGGACAAACATGCATTCGACAATGCCTCAAAAGAAGTAAGAGAACTCAAGGAGAAGAAGAGACAGCGACCCATAGAGTTTCGGGAAGGCTTGGCTTGTGCGCGGGAAATCGGGGCGTACAAATACCTTGTGTGCTCTGCTCTGACCCAAAGCAACCTGAAAGGCGTATTCGACGAAGCTATTCGGTAAGTGGGTGTTACTGCCCAAGCTATGGCCCGCTCGAGATGCAATTCTAATTCGCTCTGATGCTAGCGCTGTTTTGAATCCACGACCGCCACCCAAGGCCAAGAGGTCCAAATGTACCGTTTTGTAAACATCCGAATAGACCAGTTACAGCACGCAGATAGAGGGTTCTTTTTCCAATCACAGATACACTTTAATATCTTTATTTGGCTGTGAGCAGTGGCAAAAAGACGAACAAGCACCCAGGCATCGGACTCCAAAGATGATGCTTGACCCCGACCGAAGCTTCTCTTTCCCTCGCTCCAACACGAATGTACAAACGAAGCACCTCTAGCGGACGCAACAGCACACACGATATAAAGAATGATGTCTCCCATTTGCAGCGCAAATAGAACAATAGGGGCGGACGAAAGTGCGGACGAAACCTGAGAGAACAAGCAGCCGAATGCGACCAAGCTTTCCGCTGGTGCCCTTGTCACCGCCCAATATTGTCCTTTTTCGCTGGCTGGTGCAAGTGCGAGGGGCAGATCAGAACCGCGATATCATCCGTCGTCCAGTAGACGACCTGTACATGTCTAGTGGCTCGCCGACTTGACCACCGGGAGGCACAGATGTTCTCTTCGCCAGCCTAGTATGCTCGTCGAAAAAAACAAACAAGTGCTCGGGGCGTCTAGTTTTTGGTACATGGGGGTGTTTTTTGGTCGCATGTAATTTTTTCTAAATTATTAAATTTTTTTTTGCCCCTTTGGTCTGTATTTGTCTCTCTTAAGTGTCAAGGATATCCCACCTTTTTGGTGTTGTTTTCTTTTCTGTCCTTGTAGATAGCACCAAGGCATGGTTCGACGTGTATCGTAATCGTACTGTGAGTGAATCTGTCAAGGCTTTGTATGTCTGCTTAAAGTCCATCCCCTCTCCCGAGCGCATATAACACGACGAACCTCATCTACGTCGCACGGGCTATCTACCTCAAGCCGTTGTAGCATGGCACCACGGGACCAACATTTGTTCCCACAACCCTTCCAGTTGGAAATGTCCAAGAAAACATAAAGGCCACGATCGGTTCCTGCAACGCAGGCCATCAATCATCCCGCCAGTCTCGGATTCCTGGCCAAACGACTGGGGTGAATGCCTCCCCCGTGTCCCTCGTCCCTCGCGCCGCCACCCTCCTCCTTAGCAGCCCTCTCCTTCTCGATCCGCTTGCCCCTATTCTCATCCAGCTTCTTGTTCTTGTCGCGAATCTTGTCCCTCCGGAAGGCCGTCTTGCCCCCGCCGCCGGCCCTACAGAAGAAAGTCAGCATCTGCGCGCGCGCGCGCCCCCGCCCCCAAACAAGACCCAAAACTCACGTCAACTCGACATTGATCCTGCGCCCCTCAAACTCGGAGTGGTGAAACCTGTCCAGGCACGTCCTCATGGCCCCCGCGTCGGCAAACTCGACAAACGCGATGCCGCGGCACGGTCTGTCGTCGTCCTTGTTCTTCAGGCACCGCACGGAGACGGGCTTCAGCGCCGCAAAGTGCGCCTCGATGCTGGACGCCGTCGCCGTGAACGGCAGGTTGCCCACGAAGACGATGAAGCGGGACGGTCTGGCGTCCTGCGCGCCGCTGCCCTGCGCCGCCGCCGTCTCCTCGGGCTTCTCCCCGTCGTGCTGGTCTTGCTTCGGGGGCTCGCTGCCGTCTTGCTTGTCCTTCTTGTCCTTCTTGTCCTTCTTCTCCTTCTTGTCCTTCTTGTCCTTCTTCTCCTTCTCGTCCTTCTTGTCCTTCTTGTCCTTCTTGTCTTTCTTGTCTTTCTTGTCTTTCTTGTCTTTCTTGTCTTTCTTGTCTTTCTTGTCTTTCTTGTCTTTCTTGTCTTTCTTGTCTTTCTTGTCTTTCTTGTCTTTCTTGTCTTTCTTGTCTTTCTTGTCTTTCTTGTCTTTCTTGTCTTTCTTGTCTTTCTTGTCTTTCTTGTCTTTCTTGTCTTTCTTGTCTTTCTTGTCTTTCTTGTCTTTCTTGTCTTTCTTGTCTTTCTTGTCTTTCTTGTCTTTCTTGTCTTTCTTGTCTTTCTTGTCTTTCTTGTCTTTCTTGTCTTTCTTGTCTTTCTTGTCTTTCTTGTCTTTCTTGTCTTTCTTGTCTTTCTTGTCTTTCTTGTCTTTCTTGTCTTTCTTGTCTTTCTTGTCTTTCTTGTCTTTCTTGTCTTTCTTGTCTTTCTTGTCTTTCTTGTCTTTCTTGTCTTTCTTGTCTTTCTTGTCTTTCTTGTCTTTCTTGTCTTTCTTGTCTTTCTTGTCTTTCTTGTCTTTCTTGTCTTTCTTGTCTTTCTTGTCTTTCTTGTCTTTCTTGTCTTTCTTGTCTTTCTTGTCTTTATTGTCTTTCTTGTCTTTCTTGTCTTTCTTCTCGTCCTTCTTCTCGTCGCCTACGTCCGGAGCTTGCCGTGCTTTCGTGTCGGCCTCTGCGGCATGCCCATTCTCCTCTTCCTTGTCCTCCTCGGGCAGATCCTGCAAATCCTTTCGCTTGTTCTTTTTCTCCTTTCTGGTCTCCTTGTTATATTTACTTTTGTCCTTTTTGTTCTTCTTCTCCTTCGTCTCCTTGGCCTCCTTGGCCTTCTTGGCCTTCTTCCGCTTCACCTCTGTGGGCTCGTCGTCGCCTCTCTTGCGCTTCTTCTTTTCGACTGGGGCGTCATCGACGGCAAGAAAATCTTCAGCCGCCGTAGTGGCTTCCTGAGCTCGTTTGCTTTTCATTGCCGCCCGAACGCAACCAATTCCTAGGTTTTTGGGCTCGCGCGAGTGTTGCGAGTTGCCGAATTGCAAGACTCTGGCGAGGCAGAAGCTTACCAGAAATTTTTAGTGGAGCCGACCCTTCAAGTTGTTCAACCTAATGGACATGTGGTTCGACCCACAAACGCAGCCCACCGTCAATGTCAGCTCCTTGGAAAAAGACTTGTTACAGATTATTGTACCGTAAGGGCTTGTGCCAATGTCTAAATATACACTGAAAACGCAGACATACAAAAATCCCTAAGCTTGCCTTGCGATCCATCACCATTGTCGCAAAGGCGCCTATCCCATATTAATTTCTGATATGCCTTACAAGATGCAAATGGCAAAACCAGCTGCAAAAAACACGGTGCCTATCACTACACATATGCTAGGCTTGGTCGTCATTGATCCTCCGACAAACATGGCTGGCATTGGCGTCTCAAAGCCTACACTTCCAGACCTGCTGAACTCATTACTTGGTCCAAATTTGTCATGACTAGATTGAGAGCCCTGCTCCGAGGTGGTTGAATTGGGCCTCCCATCGACTGGGCTGTTCAAGGCCAAGACCGAAGCCATAGTGAGCGAAGTAGCCTGAGCCTGACTTATCGTCTTGATTGTGGTTTCCCACCCCTCTCCCAAAATGGAGGATATAAGAGTAACCTCAACTGGGTTGGAAATGTCCGGGATTGTTGTTTCGTCAAGGTCTGTGTTCTTGGCGTGGGATGGAGCAGCATGTGCTATTCGTGTCGGCCCTGCCCTTCTGGTATCATGCGCAGCTGGGCTTCCTGTATGCCGTCCCGATCCGAAATCAGAACTTTTATCGAGTGAAGATGTCGGATGTGAGGTTCCTGATGATCGAGGTTGGTCAACATCGTTTCCTTGAGTTGGAATGCCGTACACAGGAGGTGGGGTGCCATATCCATATTCTTCCAATGGCGAAATATATGCTGGTGGTAAAGAAGGACGAGGTGAAAAGGTGTAAGGGGCCGGTGAAGCGTCAAAGCCTCCATCAAAACTGGAAGATGTAGTGAATGCGGACCTGGAAGTGCTAGACATTGTATTGCTGGTAGAAGCCGTCTCAAATTGTCCACGACATGTCCTAGCTCTTGTGGACGATGAGCACATACTAGAGGTAGAAGGCGAGCTTGTGCCTTGACTGCTAGCTGTGCAAGTCGTAGATGCGATGCTTTCTTCACTTATAGTAGCAGTCGATGTGAAAGTTGGACTTGAGTATTGAGTGGATCGTGCTAAATCTGACAAACAAGGTGTATCCGAGCCTGAGAGCTTGCTCGTGCTCCATTTACCAGAGTCCAATGTCCAGGATCCATACGTCGTTGTTTGGGGCCTCGTCGGCGTAGTAGAGCGGCCTAATCCGTCAGAGCAGTCCGTCGTTGGCGTATTTGCGATATCTGACGACCAATTAATAGACCCAGCGTCAGTCTGAAGGGGTGACGAAGTGCACCCAGCTGTTGAATGGTGCGAGTTCTGTGCCGACAAAGTCGCCCGCGGGGGAGCTCGGCTGTCTTCGAATTTTGAAGCAGTAGACGTACATGGAGCTGACGAGTAGGTCTGGCTCATTGTAGACACACCTTGTCTCGAGGCACTGGATCCAGTGAACGGGGGGGCGTTACCGAGGGGGGACTCATTGGAATTGCAAGGCGTACTATGTGTCTGCGTAGTTGATGTTGCAGAAGTCTTCAGCTGGGCGCTGTTGGAAGATTCGCAGTCCGTTGTAGCGTGAGTTTCAAGGTCTCTGGATCCATCCACGAGAAAAGCCTTACATGCAGACGTTGCAGCCGGTGCACTAGACAAAACGGCTGTCCTCGATGTGTTAACTGGCAAGGTGATTCTCACTTCTCATCGAGGACGTGTGGGAGCACTCACTAGCCATGAATCCGTTCACGGAAAACACTTCCTCATCACTAGCCATCGCCGTTGAAGCGATAGATGCCTGAGGGGACACCAGAGACACTGTGACGACGCCGTCTTGGCCAGCATTGCAGGTCAAAGCAACCGCAAAATTGCGTGCCAAGCTGAACTCTCTGTTGAAATCCGTGAACTTGTCGCCAGGAAATGTCTTGTCAAACACTTCAGGCTGCTGGCTTCGCTTGTGCTCAGGAGGCAGGTCAACCTCGATAGGATGCAGGGGGATGATATTGACGCCGGTATCGCAGCAAGCGGAAACTGAGTATGCCAAGGCTCGACCGTAGTTTTCAGGGCTGCAAAGATTGATCAGGCACTGGAAGTGCGCCTTTTCAACCCGTCAGCAGCATGCGGGCATGGATCGGTGAAGCAAACGTACACGTTGAAGTTTGGGAGTGGCGCAGGTGCTCTTCATGCCATCCCTGAGTAGTCCATGCTCAGCAAGGGACTTCTGACAGTCTGTGACGCAGGCTGATGGGCACAATTAGCATCACGGATTCTGCCGAGCAGGCAAAAATAGTTACCTACCTGGTCTTGATCGCTCTGCTGCCCGTTGACAGCGCGCCAAGGCTGAAAACAGCAAAAGTGTACCGATCAATGTGATCCTCATGTTGGTGATGCCGTGCTCTAAGAAGTGAAGGGCTGCCAAATGGCTAGTCGTAATTAACGATAGTCACCAAAAAATGGGTAGAGCGAAAGAGGTTTACAAGAAAGTCCAAAAATGAGTGGCAGTGCGCCGAAGCGTGATAATGTGGAGGGATAGTTGAAATGAGCGACGAGGGTTGAAATTGAAGAAGAAGAAACATCGGAGGACAAAGCAGAAGAAAACAAGTACCCAGTGAATGAGGATTTGCAAGCGTGTAGTCAGAGGGAAGGAGCCGTTCTTGCGCTCCATGGCCCTCGGTTGCCGAAGGAGAAGGTGAATTCGGATCAATTGATGGGACAGTCAGTCTACCAGACACTTGACTCGCACGGCCTCGTGAGCTTCCTTCCATATTCCAAAGTCGAGTTCGCTTAAGCGCTGCCACAGGATGCCGGTGAAAAGCAACTGCAGGCCGTTCGGCGACATTGAGTCTTTCCAACATTTGCACACATGTACAATCAACGGGGCCAGGGAAAGAAATGCACTTCTATATTTCTGTCCCTCGAATGAAACGATACCAACGCCGCAAAAACAGAAGGGTATCTAGTAGAAGAGCAACGCCAAGGGCTTCTTGTCGGCTCCGTAACGCTCCTTGAATTCCGGACGAGTCAAAAGCCGGGCAAGGGGCATCATGGTATCCTTGACGTCCATGATGCCTCTCTTCTTCTTGTCGATGTGCGAGGCGTCCACGACCAGTCTTTGCAGATGATCCAATGACAAGGCGCCTGTGTCAGCGTTAATAGGATATATTTGCGGCCCAGACGGCATCGGGTCATACCATTGTCGATCAACTCCATCAGACGGGCGGGCGTACCGACGCCAATTCCGGTCCTTTTTTCTTTGAGAAACTTGATCTGCTCGTCTACTTTGATGTGCTTGGCGAACTGCAAAGTAGTTAGCTTTGATGGCACATATATCTAAATTCAACCAGGCCTGTTTGAGCTGACCAGCTTCGCCACGGCGTTACTCTTGCTCGAGAACTTTCGCACAGCCCTGTGACACCGTTAGCATGTTGGGTATGAGTAAAGGAGCGTGCAGTTGTATGCACCGCATGGGGGCAATCAAACCTGACAATATCGGCCGCCCTCAAGCCAGCACCAGCAACGATGAGCGTGCGTGGCGAGCCCTTCTTCTTCGGGGCTTTCATGAGGCTTTCCTCGCCCTCTGAAAATTTTCCGAGGAAATTCGGTAGATTGTCGAGCGTTCTGTCTTCCTGCCATGAGGTTGTATCTTGTATTGAGTTGGCTGTGGTGCTGATCAGCTCTCCGAGTTCCTCTCACGGAGTCATGCAGACATACCGGATACGGTCAGGTCTGAGAGCTCAACAGAGCTGAGGTCGCTTCCGAATCGCCCAAGCTTTTGTGCCAGGTAATCTGCAATCAGCTGATTGTCCATACGATTGAACAGTGTGTTGAGGCCAAGCTCCATATCAAGAGCCTCATCGTCGTGTAAAAATTTGGTCTTTCTTCTCTTCTTCTTGGCTTCGGGCGCAGCCTCCGCGGCGCGCTTATTCGAGCTTGACATGATTATTCGGCAGCTCAGATCAATACCATCCCACTAACAGATAGCCGCAGGCAAGATACAGGATTGGGTTGGTCGTTTCATTGAAGGAACGCTCACGTGTTGAAAGACGAGACAGAATTTTTGAAGGGTCGGTCTAGATTAGTGGGGCGCTTATGGGGCGACCAGGCTTGCCTTTCTAGGTGCCTGGCTGCCTCTTTTCCAGTATTCATTCAACACGCTCGACATTGACTCAGGAAACAGAACCCTCCGATTTGACTGTAGAATCTCTAGCTTTACCGAACAATTTACTAACATTGCTTGAACGCCAAACGCCGTTACCCATGGGATCAAACCAGACCTTCTGGTTCCTCCTCCATCTCCACGCAAGCATTGATTAAAAGATGCTATTGACAATATTGCCACCGATAGTAGCGCCCGCGCCAAAGATGGCAGCATTGCCGAGCTTCTTGCCAAACTTCTTGCCATACTCTCCAACCTTACTGTCTCCTTGTTGCTGTTGTCCATTGGCAGGCTGCCCGCCTTCGGCGACAGCCATAGGCGGCACGCTGGAGCTATACGGGTTCTGCTGCTGTGGTGGGCCCTGTCCAGCAGGGGGATATCCATACTGGGGCTGAGGGTAGGGAACGTAAGCAGACTTTTTCTCCTCGTGCTCGACAAGGACGTAGTTCCTGGGGAAGATGCCCTCCTGGCTGGTTCGGGTGTTTTGGCCCATCCACCAGTCCTGATTCATGTACTGATACACAACAATCTGGTCGTCCTTCTCAAAAGACACGTCGCGATTATCGGAAGCGACATAACGATACAAAGCCCGTGCGTGGGCAAGAATGGGCTTGGCGGAGCGGCTGGGCAAGCTTGGCGCGGGAGTCTGGTCATATGATGGCGGTCCTGGCGAAGGTGTCGTGGTTTCGGGATTGCTGTTGTTCATGCCCAGGTTTTGCAGCTGCTGCGTGGGAGGCGCAGGAGAAGCAGTGCTACCCGCGGCGGGAGCGGGACTCTCTCGAGCAGCAGTCGTCGAGGCGTTGCCGCTGGTTGTGCGGAGAGGCCCGGAGAGGGATGATTCTGGCGGCAGAGCCGCGTGGATTCGGTCGAAGACCCCCTCATCAATGACGCCTTTTTCAAGGAGATTCTCGAGTTCCTGCAAAGGGCTTATCAGCGCAAGGGCAAAATAAATGAGACGTATGGAGGGAGTCGTACAGTCTTGATATTGCGGAGAGACCGGTTGGTCTCCATGATGAGCTGGCGGTCGGCGGATACCATTTTGAAGTCTGGCGCGGAGTCGGTTCGCCCAAGGTCGAGACGGGGTAAGGGGCGGTTAGCAGCGATCGAAGACGGAAGGATGGGCAATGAAGAAGTTTTAGGTGATCGAGAGGGGCAAGAAGGTTTATGAAGCGACCAGGTCTTGCGCTTCTCGTTTCAAGTTTCGGAATGGCAGAGCCAGCATGCCTGCTTGGTGCGGGGCGCAATGGCAAGCCATCGAGGCTGTGTTTTCTCCGTACATCCATCATCTAACGTATGAGGGGGGTAAGAAAGGTGCCTAAAGCATACTAAGTGCTAGTTAAGTACCCTACCTACGTACTGGGCAGTGAAGTTATACTTTATGTACTCGAGTTTGAAGCACCAAAGTGAAGTTAATAATCAAGTTTACCAAGATTGGTACCTACCTGGATACGTACTAACTATTACCTATACGTCGGAGTTGTGTACGTCGTGCACAGCAACACGTGATTGCACTTGCCTGCGTCGTCCATGGAAAATCGTCGACATCCGGCCTTCCATTCACACCAACTTGCAAGGTCCGAGGAATCAATCAGAACATGTCATTGCTATTGCTCCGTCAGCTCTGTCTGGATACAGCCACCAGAATAACGCGCCATGCCTCTTCGACGGTACCACAGCACGCGCATAGAAGAACATGGAAGCTGCCTTGAAATCTGGATAGCGTTAAGTCTTGGGTAGCGTAAAGTCTTGGCGCACCAGATTACGACTGTCGGCTGGCTAACATGCAGGCGAATGACGCAGAGAGTAGGTATAAAAAGTGCGTATTTACCAGCTGGTTCATTGTCGTGAAACCTTTCCTAACACCAGGCAAGGAGGGCCAGGCTTCAACGATGACAGACAAATGTTTCCTATCCGCTTGTTCCTACGATGGATATTCGGCTACGGCGATAAAAACGAAGAATGCCCGTCAACTTGTAGAGTTGCGCCGTGGCCGAGCGTACAGCCCACAACGTCATTTTGCAAGCCAGAGTATTCCTTGAAGCGCATACGATTCATGAGCATCGACATCGACGAGCTAGTGAAGAAAAATGGCGTCGTGCAGAGCTTCCACATTGGTGTGTCGACTTTGGACATGCAGACGTTGCAACAGATGGTGTCTTGTGGCCGAAATTCCACTGACGTCGAGGGACAAGTGGAACAACTCATCAAATCACATCACTGGATCGTTGAAGACGCCGAATATTATCTTCGCGGAAGGGGCAATGTCTTCTTCTTCAACAAGCCCACTCGCATGGCCGCAGCGCCTCCTGACCGCGCTGGAATCTCTCGGCACGTCACCGCCGTGAACCGTCTGCCGCTTGATGGAAGATCCAGAAAACTGGCGTTCGGCTTGTGCAATTGTCGGCGTTGCTACAGTATGCATGCGAGCAGGTACATCGCAAACCAGAGTCTTTGTATAAAAAAAACTGTAAGCGAGAAATTCAGGAGGCAATATTTATTCCTTATTTTACCAGGCCGCAATTTGGCAGTTTGGAACAACGGTCAAGTGGTCAGCGATCCAGGCGACGTGGTCATCCAGCCTCACGCAGCTCGTATCAAAGCCACTGATGTGAAGAAAGTCGCCGGCACCATGAGGGTGCTTAAGAACTTGCAAGTAAAGATCCATGATCTCAAAGCTTCCTGACACAGTCACCATGCCAAAAGAGCGGTGGCGAACCGTTGCTTACACAAGTCGCGTAGTTTTCCACACAATGTCGGACATGACTGGGTTGGCATCGTGCTAGTCGTTGGGGAAATCTGTCACATGAGTCAAAGTCAGCGATCCGAGTATGAATCCGATTTCCCAAAGTGATTGCCTAGATCTCATCGAGGCACAGACTCCTGACGTGAATCCGGCCGTGGTAGTGCCAGCGCCGACGACGTACGGCCGTGGCAGCACAGCGATCCTCTTCTCTACCACGAACAAGCAGACCTGGAGCGCCCCAGCTCTCCCGACTGAAGTCACGTAATACTATGCTATGGATCTTGAGGACCACGAGTTTTCCGACAAGTGGGCGGCAAGGCACCACGGACCCGCGGCTCAAGGAGTTTCCATGAGTAGTAGTCCAGCTTGGTGCCACGCCTCCTGAGGGCCCAAGGCCAGCAGTGTAGCCGGTCAAAGGGACAGAGGTACGAGAGATGACATGTCCACCACCAAGGAAATTGGAGTGAGGGAAAAGTTGGGTGCGTGGGTAGTCATAAAGTTCCTGAGATGCGCAAATCAGAGTGGAGTGGGCACGACTGCTGCCTGGAGAAGCTCGACCTGAACAGACATTATGTATTTAACTGCCATCATTCATCTTCGTGGATAGCGAGATACTTGTTGGATTCGCCAGCTGCACAAGTTTTGTTCTCATGCTCGCTGATGGGTAGACGAGAGCAAAACTAGCTTAACCGCTGGGCGTTTAGAACCTTGTCGACTTCAGCAGCCATATTATATTCCACTAGCTGTTTCAACGGCTTCGTCAGAATGTTTGGGAACCACCCTGCCTGGGGTCAGTATCTCGAAAGAATGCCATCGTGCAAAGCGGACAATGTGAGACGAAGGTACAATCCAGACGGCCTGCTTACCTATCGCCCACATCCAGGCATACATGATGTACTCTTCAATAACCGTCTTATCGCGCTTGCAGTCCTGCCAATTTTGAGCGTGGTCAAGGATCCCCTTCACACGAGGTTGGCGGAGATGCAAGTATTGTTTCGCCGCCGTCTTGATGATGTACTTGTGGTCAATAGAATCGCCCGCGTTCGACTCATAAGCCTCGCCCAAGTGGTGGCTGAGAAAGAGAGCAAAACACTCCACATCCTCCAGGGCCTGCGAGGCGCCTTGGCCAGAGGTAGACGGCAGCGCGTGAGCAGCATCCCCTACCAAGACGACGCCGTCTCGCTCCCACGTCGGCAGCGGAGGCACGACCCATGTGGGGTACATACATGTCACCTTTGAAGTCTCGAGGACTTTGCGTATCACGGGATCGTCCCAGTCCCTGTGGCGTAGGCGAAGCTGTTCAAGTATATCCTCCTTGCGCACCGACTTTGGGTCGGGGCACTTGTCGACGGAATACGTCGACCACCAACCGACGCTCTCCCCTGGCGGAGAAACGTGGTGGGCAGAGTCGCGATGAGGCGCATCCGGTGCGCTCTCTGCGATGAAGTAGCCAAAGAACCCGTTGCCACCCATGACAAAGTTCATCGACCCAATCTCGACGTGATCCTTGACGAGCGAGAAAGGGACGAAGCCACCAACGCCGCAAAGACCCCTGTGATGGTGTCAGATTTTGATTCCCGACTCGGTGATAGATGAAGGATTTATTACTCGTAGTGCGGCGGGAAGGGGTCCGTCGTGTCGCCGTCACCGTCACCCGCAAAAATTGCCTTCTTGGCTAAACCCTTGAGCCCGTCGGCGCCAATGACCAGATCGGCTTCCGCAGACGGACTTCCGTCGACGAAACTGACCACGTTCAGACCATCGGATCTGGCGACCACCTCGGAGACTCTCTTTGTGACAATGACGTCGTCGGGGATCCTCCTGCGAAGTTGTCGCCACAGCGCATGGCGACTGCACGCAACAGTGTTCATGGTATCCTGCCCCTGTCCGTCCAAAGCTGGCTTACCGGCCGGCTGCATGCGTGCCAGAACTTTTCCGCTTTTGCTCTTCATGTTCATCGTCGCGCAGCTATATCCGTCTCGGACGATGTCACGCAGCAGGTCCTCGTCCAGCCGCTGCAGGACGCCGAGTCCATTGGCCGCAACGCCCAGGCCACCGCCTACAATGAGGGTGGATGAATGTGTTGGGCCATAGCCGCGGTCGTCGGAGGTAGTGTCGACGTTTGTGTCGTACGCCTCGTAGATTGTGATTTTGTGCGCTTCTCCCGATGGTGGTTTGGGAAGATGCTTCCGAAGTTGGAGGTAGACGGCGCAGCCCGAGATTCCCGCTCCGACAATAATGATCTTCATGGTTGGCACGTTGGTGATGACAATTGCTCCAGATGCAGATTTTTCTTTCGACCAAAGACATGCGACAGCCGCGACAGCCTGTCCTATTTAATCCTTTTTTGGTTGAGCCATGGACGACGTTTCGCAACGGCAAATAGCAGTCTGATGAACTTGAACAACTTCCCGAGGGCGCCTAAAAAGAGGCGCCAGGTGGCTGACAGCCGTGAAACCGACCCGACCAGACGTAAACACGCGCCGCAGGTAGGGTAGTACTAGAGACCAGGATGAAGGCGGCATACTTCCGTACCACAAGATAAGTCCCTTTTTGGTGTGACAAATGCCGCCTCGGACTTCTTGGGATCGCCGAGCTGACTGATTCAAACTCTACGCGGATTTGCCACAAGACACAACCGAACGTGCCCAGCGGGACACGATGGCTGGTTCCGGGCCAAAAGGACGGGCATTTATTATCGCTGAGTATATCATTGTTTTCCCTTCGTCTTCTCCGCCCCTGTAAAGGCGCCCAGGTTAACTAGTTAGTCTCGTTTAAGTCCGATCTTCCCAGTCTTTCGTAGGCCAACTGCCCCCCATAAAGTGCAAGCCATCATGAGCCCAAACATGGTCCAGAAGCTTGCCCTGAGCCCCTCCATCACAGCCATGGGCATGCTCTTGTTGCCGTGGTCCCATGTCACGGCCGTCGAGACAATCTGCATGACGCCCAAGACGAGAGCCTGGCCGAACTGAGACGCGGTATTGAACACGGCACCCGCCAGTGCCTGCGTGTCGTCAGGAAAGTTGTCCGAGATGATGATGAGACCTACTGTGAAGAGTACGTCGGGGCTCACAGGCGCCAGCAGCTGGGCTATAAAGGCATTCGTCCAATACGGGGACTGGACTTTGATCGTCGCCATGAGCAGATGCGATATTGAACAGATGATGGACGACCCTGTCACAATCCACGGGGCCGGAGCCCGGTCGACGAATAGACCGGTCGTGAAGTTGAGAATCACTCCAACGGCCAGACTTGGGATGATTCTGAGGCCGGTCTCAAGGGCAGAGAGGCGCTGAACCTCTTGGAAGCTGAGAATGGTTGTTAGTTCTTTTAACCAGGAAAGTAAGGGAGAAAAGATGACAAAACTCGCAACAAACGCCTGGTCTAGGGACCCTCGACTCACAACAAACTGGCAAACAACTCCATGGATGTTGATACACCAAACGACAGAGCCACAGTGCCACAAATGCTGGCAAATGCAGTATTCTTCCACAGATAGTTGGGGATCAGTGCCGGTCTGCCCAGCCGGACCTGGCGATGGACCCAGCCAATAAACAGCGGCAACAGAATCCCAATCAGGCAAATAAACACGATGCTTTCGGGGTTTCGGATCTTGGCAAGATCGACACTAATAGTCCTTCAAGACTGTAAGCTTGGCGGAACGCCGTGAGCACGAGGGCGGCGCGGTGAACTCACGCAAACAGGTAGGAGAGCAGCGCCATAAAAGTCGAGGCCAGCACGGCGCCAACCCAATCTACTCTCTGCTTGAAATTATGCACGGTGCCTCGAACTGTCCTTTCGTAATGAGACTTTGGCAACGCCCAGGTGGCAACAGCAGAGAGGACAAGAGTCAGAGCGCCGTAGATGTACCAAGCTGCTCTCCAACCCAGGAGGTCCTGAAGGACACCCCCGAGGACTAGACCAAGCGAGAAACCCAGCGGCTGGCTAAGACCAAGGCAGGAGAAGGCGAAATTTCGTGGCCTCCCACGGGGCAGGGTTGTAGTGACAATGGCGACAGACGACGCAAGATGCATGGCGTAGCCAACGCCCTGCAGGGCTCGCATCACAACAAGCTGCGTGCCTGTTTTGCAGGCACCCCCGGCGAGTACAAAGACTCCCGTCACGATGCCGCCGGCAAGATTGACCGTCCGTGGGCCAATCGAGTCGGCCACAGAGCCAGCGAGCAGAATAGCCGAGGCATTGGCCAAGTTTGAGACCGAGGTTGGCCAAAGAGCCAGCGACGGATCCAGCTCGATGTCGGCCGTGATGGTAGGCAAGCCGACGACGACGAGGCCATTGACAGCATTGGAAGCAAAATTGACGCCGGAAAGTTGTGTAATAACGGCCACCTTTCGGAACAGGGACACTCGGAGGCCACCGGCAACCGACTCAGCGGACTGGTCGGCGCTGCTGGTTTCTAGTAATTGCCGTGGAGTAGTATCACCGGGGTTGAGTCCGACTCCCACAGATGGCTCCAAGGCCAGTTTTGTTTGCGTTCGAGTACATGTTGTCATGATGATCGTCGTATATCAATGGCGTTTGGTTTTCCAACCGGCTTTGATCGGTCGAAACAGACTGTAGTTTAACCGCCGTTGGCCCCAAACTCCATTGGAGTAAATAAGCCTGGAGGATTCAGTCAAAAACCCAACAGAGCGACAAACGACCCACTCCAAAGGCGTGGTTTCTCTCGAGGAGGGCCATGTTTCTTGTGGACTGCTGCTGCGAGTTTCTCCCAATTTGTCTTGTCACCTAGGTTCTAACGACAACTTAGTTATCAGATTAGCCACTTGCTGACGTCTGGCGAATTCTAGGCCCCGTGTCGTCGGGAGCGTTCCCTCGGGTTAGTCTGCATAATAAAGTGACTGGTGTGTCTGACAAAGGAGTAGGCGGCAGGGCTCGGTGCGGGTGCGACATTGCAGGAACAAATGTACAATTGGATAGCTCCTCAAGAGTATAAACAGACTCCAAAGCTGGCCGTCTCTGTGCCCCTGCAAGCCATGTGTGACCAGAGGAGGCAAGGAATTAAAGTCCACGATCGTCTTGTGATGGTTTGTGAGAATTTGTGGGGCGACCTCGAGTAGAAACTGCCTGCTCCCAATTGGCCCACGTGAGGGCGATTTTTGAAGACATCTCCCCGTCGTTTCCCGGTCCGGCATATTGGTCGTCTCCTTCACTGCCTCACCATCCTCCAGCCATTGAGTTCAACGCGACATTTGCTGCGAAGCCTGCGATACATCGCCCAGGAGGCCGATAAGACAACTCACACCTCTTCTCCTCTGTTCTGTCGTGTAATTCTCCGGAACATCCGCGACCCCCACACCTCCCTCATCTTTGCGACTTTCGCGAGCTTTTCATAATCGCCTTCAAAGTGGCTGGACCAAGAGATTTGCGCTTATCCGCACGGATATCCCAGACGCACGCATCGTGTATGCGAGTTAGTCCCTGTGTTGGCCGGGTGGCCAGGCGCCGTTACGGCACTGTTGCCTCGAGCACAGGCAGACACCAGTCGCGCGAGCCTGCGCCTCCGAGCAGTCCAGCAGATCCGATACAACGGCCGTGGTCGACCTCATATCAGCTTGATTCGCCGATAGCCAAGCCGCGACCACAACCACAATTTTACGTGCCCTCTGTGCTGCTCCCCAGGGAGGCGGCTAACTCGCCGACTGTACACAAGATTCATATTTTGGGTGACGATGAAAGGTCCAAGTTCATTGCCCACGCCTTATCGAGCGTATACGATTCCGTGGAAATGCTCGGGTGGAGGAGAAGCTCCTCAAAGTACCGCAACATTCAAAAGGCCCGTCCAAGCAACCGCTGGTCAGCACCCAACGTCGAGCCCAACCTCGCCGCCATGCCCAGGGCCATCGCCCAAGACGATGATTCGAAAATTGACCAGCTCGTGGTATCAGGCCGAGGTTACGAAGCTGTAGAGGCTCTGCAGGCGGTGAAGAACCGAATTGACGAAAACACGACAGTATGTTTGATGAATGATGGGCTAGGAGTGCTCGAGGATGTGAGAAAGAGGATCTTTGAGGGAACGACAGATGCAGCACCGAGCTTCTGGCTAGGCCACATGAGCCACCGGCTGGCGTTCAATCGAACATATGACGCGGTGACCCAGCTCAAACACGGCCAGACAAAGTTGACCTTTGCCGAGGCGCCTCGGATGCGCGTCAACGACATGCACAAGGTCGAGTCGCGGCCGAATTTCGTCAAGACACTACAAGAAGCAAAGGACCTTCGCACGACAATGACGCCCTTTGACCAGTGGCTCCGATTCAAGCTGCCTGCAGTCATCTTCGACTCTGTCGTCGAGCCTGTGTGCGTGCTTCTAGAGATGCCATACCAGGGCTTACTGCAGAACCCAGCAGCGCAGCGCATGATGCACAGCTTGCTGTCCGAGATCATCCAAGTTCTTGAGAATATGCCGGAACTGGAAGGGTCAACGGCCATCAGAGACTACGTGCAGAGCAAGGGCGTTCGAAAGTTCATGTACGGCAGGATAATGGGGAAGCAATCACAGCCAAGCCAACTGGTCCGACGGATTGAGCACGGGTTGCCGACAGACGTGGAGTATCTGAATGGCTATTTTCTGCGCCGCGGGCAGAAGCTAGGACTGGATCTGCGTATGAACGTCATGATGCGGGACATGATCAAGGCGAAGCACTCCCAGGCCATCGAGCGACTCAACTCGTACATACCCATGGAGGAGACATCTATACCAAGTCACTCAGCGTTCAGATATAGGACAACGCCACGGTGACGACTGTGTAATGGCTGCATTGTTTTGTCATGTATATATCATTTTCGCATAGCATGGGCGTGTAATCAAGGCGGTATTCCATCTCGGAGCGCGCGAGTCAACTCTGTGCCATGTACGATGTACGACGTAGCGCCGTCAGCACTTGTTGTACAAGGCTAGTGATATTCTGTTGAAAAAAAAGGCCTCGAGACCCAAGAAGCAAACACACTCGGGCCACCTCGGCATTCACCCGGGTCTTGGTTTCTCTTGCGTTCTGTTCAATACTTGCTTCTCCAGCCTCACGTGATGCCCGCCGAAGCCATCTCCGCTGCCCCTCCAGCAGCATCTTGCCCCGCCATCACCTGAGACCTCGAACCATGACGACGGCAAGCGAAATCGCCATGGACGACTCCGAACTCGAACAGGTACCCCAGCTCCCTCCCCCCTCGACTTTGGCCCTCCGCAAGGCCCGTCTAACCAGCGCACGACAGATCCGAAAAGCCCGCCTCGAGCAGCTCAGGGCCGAGTCCGGCGCAAGCGGCGGCGGCCAACCATCCAACGGCGGCCAGGACCAAGGTCAAAAACAGCACGTCTCCCGCCTACTCCCCCCCCCTCCCCCCCATGCACGTTCCCTTGCAACAAGCTGACCCCCGCGTGTCCTGTGAGCCAGACAGCAAGACGACGCTCGGCAACACGTGCTGAACCAGATTCTGCACCCCGAGGCCGCCGACCGCCTAGGCCGCATCAGGCTCGTCAAGGAGCAGCGCGCGACGGATATCGAGAACAGGCTCATCACGCTAGCGCAGACGGGCCAGCTGAGGCAAAAGGTCACGGAGGCGCAGCTGAAGGAGCTCCTGAACGCCATGGCAGATACCAAGGAGGAGGAGAAGATTGTCGTGAGCAGACGGAAGGGCTGGGACGACGACGACGACGACCTGCTCGGCTTGTGAGGCGGCAGTGGATGGCGCGTCATGGAGTGCATTGACCGAGCCGGAACACGGGGCTCAACATTACGATACCAGGTTTTTGTGAATCAATTCAAATATTTGCTGATGCTGGGGGGGGGCTTGCACGGGTCGTTTGCGTAGTCTCCGCCCCGCCCAACTTATAAGTACAAGATGTTCCTGGGATACGCGGGTGCGACGCGCTCATGCGCCCGTGCTCATCTGCTCGAGTCCGCTCAGTCTCTTCTTGTACTGCCTCTCTGCCTTGCGTATGGCCCGCAGATCGGGGGGCTGCTCGATGCCCAGCTCCCGCCTCAGGTCGGCGACGTCCCGGTCCAGCTGCTCCTCCCAGAACACGTTGATGAGCTCCTTGCTTCGGGAGCCGTTGCGGAGCGCCCAGGGCAGGTAGGTGGCCCGGAAGCGCTGCCTCTCGCGCGGCTTCATGGTGGCGGCGGCCAGGATGCTCAGGCCCGGCATGGGCAGCAGCGTGTTGGCCCACTCGAAGGCCTTGAGGGCGACCTCGCCCTCGCGGACGATGGGCAGCCCCGTGATGGAGTGGTAGAAGTCGTGGCACTCGCGGTAGCGCTGCATGACGTATGCGCACTCGGGGTCGTCGATGTAGCGGGTTTCGGAGCGCGTGTCGGGCGACACGCCCTCGCGGTCCAGCCAGCCCACGTATGCGCGGCCGACGGTGTTTTCGGGAAGGGAGCGAAGATGGGACATGGACAGGGTTTTGGATGTGATTCGGGGCCGGAGACGGAGGATGCGGCGGCCCGTTGGGTCGGCGAGCATGGCGTCGCGCAGGCGGTAGATGAAGTACGGTGTTGCCGTGGATTCGCCCACTTGCGCAATGAGGTCTGCGATGTGTTAGATACGAAAGCGCCGGGGGGAGATGACGAGGATCGGAGTCCATACCGGCGCGGTAGGGATTGATTAGTGCCATGGCACTGGATCCGACTGCCATGGCGAGTCGCTCGAGCTTCGTGAGAGGAACATGGCCGGGGTAATTGGGCGGTGGTCGATTCAAGACGGAGAATTGTCTGGACTTGGGTTGCGAGCAGCTGGCGCAGGCAAAGGCACGGACGGCATGCCGAGCGGTTGGGGCCGATTGTGCTCGTCGCAGGGCCAGATGCATTCTATTGTCGAGTTGCGATGCTGGTGATTCTATCAGCCATGTGATTGTGATGCCGTCGGAGCTTGGTCGGAGCTTAGCTTGGTACTTGAAGATGATTCGACTGGACGCTTTCCTTGGCGGTGGGTCCAGGGTTCAACACCACGTCCTTCCCTATGCAATAATGCGAGTCAGCAGCGCACTAGAGCGTGTCGAGGCTCTGTCCTTAAGTGAGCACCAAGTACCCGATGAGAGCTGTTGCCGATTGCTGTCGTGGTCAGGTTTCTGCTGGCTGGACTTATTCGCAACAGGCAACGGGGTGAGCACATTTACCGCTGCCGACTGAGTAGGCAATCTCATATATCACAAGACGCCTGCTGCTCCGGCGATTCGATCTGGTCGTCCACAAGCTCCTTGTAAACAGGGTCAGTCATCTTCATATTTCTCCGACTATGCATCAAATCAACGCCGCTCACGACCTTTGACGGGCAGAAACGATGAGATTCACGCCACAAAATCACCACGACTTTAGCGCCAAAAGTCTACTCTGGTTTGGGGACCGTTTACTTCGATTGACGACTTCTGCTTCAAAACCGTGCGACGGGCTTGGAGATAGAAGGCGCAAGAAGAAAGCACGCCGGGATATCAAGCCGCTTCACGTTTCACCAGAGAAGACATTGAATGCCGTGGTATCGAGTACCAGTCTATCCAATCGTAGCAGTACTAGGCCGCGAAGAGTGAGCTCTTGGTCACGCTGCATAGCCTCTGCATTGCTCGAAAATACTTCCATGTCAAGTAATGGACAGGAGCGGACAAGAAGCTCTCAAAACCCACACAACATCAAGTCCACAGCAGGTTCCGTCGGGCGAAGAAGAAACAAGGATGCGAATTGAGACTTTTCCAAGGTGGTGATTGCGAGTCGTGATTCGTGACGCGGTTCCCCACTTGAACCTCGATCAATCCTCAAAGCGGCTCCGCGAAGCGAGCTTAGCTGAGCCGGCTTCAACGCGGCCTGAAAACCTCACGCCAACAATTTCCAACGTCTTTCTTCATCGGCCTTAGAGCTCGCAGAGCGCGCTCACTCTGAAAGCATGCTGCACTCGTCATGAAACCATGGCCCGCCACGCTCCGAGATTTCTTGCCCCGAAGACACGCCCCTCTACATACTTCAAAAAAGCCAACCCTCGACAAGACCGCTACTCGATACCCGTCACCGTCTCCTAGGAGAGACAAGGGAAAATGGACGAAATCGAGCGCCTGCTCAGGTGGGCCGAGACAAAGGGCGCCAGAATCAACGGCATCGGCCCCAAACCCCTTCCCGGCCGCGGCATAGGCATCGTCGCATCTCGCGCCCTCGAGGTCCTCCTCACACGCACTTGGCCCAGCCACGCAAGCTCCAGGTCCAGCTGACACAAGCCAAAGGCCGGCGAGGACATCCTCACAGTCCCAGTCACCATGCTCCGGACGCTAAACAACACGCCTGCGCCCATCCGCCGCGCCCTCGGGGGCTCGACCGTCCACGCCGTCCTCGCCGCCTCCCTCTGCCTCGAGACGGACGCCGACTTCGCCGTCTGGAGGGCCGTCCTGCCCACGGAAGCCGACATGGAGACCTGCATGCCCCTAAGCTGGCCCGCCGAGCTGCAGCGCCGCCTCCCCCCCCGGGCGAGGTCGCTGCTCGACGAGCAACGGGCCAGGTTCGACGCCGACTGGGCCCCCGTGGCGGCCGCGTACCCGTCCGTCCCCAAGGCCCGCTTCCTCTACTCGTGGCATCTCGTCAACAGCCGGACCTTCTACCACGTCACCAGGGCGACGGAGAGGCTCCCCCCGGCGGACCACATGGTGCTCCAGCCCGTCGCCGACCTGTTCAACCACGCGCCCGACGGGTGCAGCGTGGCCTTTGACGACGCCGCCTTCACCGTGACCACGACGCACGCCGTCCGGCCCGGCGACGAGCTCTTCATCCGGTACGGCCCGCACTCCAACGACGCCCTGCTCGTCGAGTACGGCTTCACGCTGCCGCCGGCCGCGAACCCCTGGGACGAGATCGGCCTGGACGAGTACCTGTGCCCCCTGTTCACGGCGGGGCGGAGGGCCGAGCTGGAGGACGCCGGCTTCTGGGGCGGGTACATGCTCGACGCGCAGACGGCCTGCTACAGGACGCACACGGCGCTGCGGATGCTGTGCTGCCCGCGCGCCCACTGGAGGGATGTGCTCGACGGGCGGAGGGACGAGGACGCGGACCGCGACGCCGTCGACCATGTGCTGCGTCGGGTTCTGCGCAAGTGCGGCGAGCACGTGGCGAGCGAGCTGGCCGAGCTGGAGCGGTGCGCTGCCGCCAACGACACGGCAGCAAGGAGCTTGAGAGAGAGGTGGTTGCAGATGGGCGACTTGGTGACGGCCACCCTGGCCAGGCTGCGACGAGATGCCACGCCTGCCCTGTAGTGCAATGTAGGTGCAGGGACGTCAACGTCAACTCGGCACGACGATTTGCCGTCACGGAAGCGGGCTGCATGTGCAGAGAGAGGAGAGGGTCCTTTGACGAAATGTTGGCTTTTCTTTTTTTTCTGTATTTTCAAGATATCTTCATTAAAACAGACCCATCCAACGCTCTTCGCGCCATTTCCGTAGCAACCTGTCCGTGATTTATCTATAGTACATGTAATGCAGCTAGTTTCGAGGCCGGTTCCCTCCCCTTCCCTTTCCCCCGGGTTTGTCCGTATATTCTTCCCGTTGCTGTACACGGAGCCTTTCACAAGCGACTCAGCGTAATCCTCTGTAGTTTGGACAACCAGCAGCTCTTCACTCTGGTCGAGGACGCTTAGCTCCGTGCGGATTACCCCAATCACCGCCGCCGCCGCCACCACCGGCTTGGTTCTGGCCGAATCCGAAGCCGCCCCCGAAGTTGGGACCCATGCCCTGGAAACCTGCTGAGGTTAACAATGTGTCTCCTGTCTCTTCCATGTTGAGCGTGCTTGTGAGCATTGTTTTGTGCGCATACCTGGCATTCCGCCCCCCATACCCATCATGCCCATGTTGCCGGGCATACCCATTGGCATGCCGCCCATGGGGTTCATCCCCATCATGTTGCCACCACCACGATTGCCTCTCATACCACCAGGCCCGCCTCGCATGCCGCCGCCCATCATGTTGCCGCGGTTGAAGCCAAAGTTGCCACCCATGGGTCCGTTGAACCCTCCACCCATGTTGTTGTTGAATCCCATGTTGCCATTATTGTTGTAGTTGCGGTTGGTGCTGAAGTTGCCCTGGTTCATGTTTCCTCGGTTGCCGAATCCTCCACGGCCGCGGAAGCCTCCGCTGAAGTTGCCACGCTCGTTATACGGACCTGGAGGCGATGCCCTGGGCTGTTCCTTGACCCCTCGCGCCGGGGCATCCTTGGGCAGTGTTTTGAAAGGGTTCACCCCGGGGTTCCAATATGTGGGCAGCAGCTTCTTTTGCCAAGTCTGGCCGCCATCATTCGCCAGCTGATCTATGCACCGCTTCGCCAACGTGGCGGCTTGGCGTGATTGGAACTCGATGTATGCTTGTCTGCAGGACTTGTCAGCGAGGTCGCGCCGGCATCAAAAAGTGGCGCGACACATTGAGCCTTGGCCTTACCCTTTGCTCTTTCCGTTGACCTTGTGCTCACTAAATGTCAGCTCCTTGATCTCGGCCTCGCCATCCGCTTTCCGAAGCCATCCTCGAATATCATCGTCCGTCGTCCACCAGCTCAATTCTGAGATCATGAGGGCCGAAGTGGCTGCTGGATCGACCGGTCGCTCATCCTCCTCGGACTTTCGTTTTGTTCCTTGTTGATGGGTCTGGGGTTGGGCGTGCTCGTCATGGTCCTCGTGGGCGCTCTTGTGGCTGTCCGTTGGTTCATCTCCTCCGTTAGTTTCTTCATGGGCCTGGTAGTCAACCTTGGTCTGCTGAGGTCCATCCTGCTGCTCGGACTGCTGGTCGGTTGCAGTATCCCCGTAAAAGTCAATCTCGAAGTCAGCTTCCGCCATGGTGAAGTCCGCAAACCGAAGAGAGCAGAGCGTTGTCTAATTGCAAGCAGTATGAGTCGACGAGACAGCTGCTGCTTGTGATCCTATAAAATCGAGCGATGAGGTGAGGCCCTTGTTCTTTCAAACTCATGTCTATTAGTCTCGAAATGTATCGATACTACCTCCAAGTCAAGGGAGGCTTAGGTACAAAAACACAGAGACCAAGACCGCCAAAAGAGCAAGAGGCTGCAAAGAAAGAGAGAGAGAGAGAAAGAAGAGAAAGAGAGAGAGAGAAAAGAGAAAGACAGAGATACAAAAGCTCTAGTACGTACAATGTAGTAGAAAATGAATCAAGAACAACATAAGTTCAGAAGACGGACTCTTGCATCATAGTCCCCGGTAGTTTTCATTCATCAACCAAACGAGACCAGGCGAAGCAATGCGTTCCTGGAGTTGTACAGGCAATGCGAACCAACAACCCGTGGGCCAATAAATATCTCCTAGACCTCAGCCGTCTAGTTTCGGATACTTCAGTCTTGCAAGATATATCTCCACAAACGTGGTCCTCTTTCGGTCGTTGATGGTGTCACCGCCAACAGCCGGGGAATCAGTCCTAGCGCGTCGGAGGCGTCGCGCTCGCAACTTTCGGGGAGGGTCAATGGCAGAATAACCGAATCGTCCGACTCGGTCGCTGGGAACACCCTGATGGAAGAGGTGATGGACTGAATCGGATGGCCGATGAAGAAGCGACGCCGGCGACGAAGGAAGAGGCGAAGTTCGGGAGGAAGCCAAACACGAGGTGAGGTGTGCAAAGGTGGCGCACGAGCCACCCCCAGCTGGTGGAAGCTTGCAGGGGCCCGGCGTGGCCGGACCGTCATCGGCGCCGGACCATTATTGTTCCGATGTCATTGCGTATCGCAAAGTCGCGCTGCAAAACGCTGCAGAATACGAGCATCACGGGACACTAAGACCTAAGGCGCAAGCAGATCAAATGTCGGCATGGATATATCATGTTTTTATTCGAACATCCCCTCCGAGAGCAATGATGCAGCTCTCACGCGCTGACCGCTGCTGCGGCAACCTTGCCCGTACCCTATAGGCTACCAGAGCAAAACGTCTGATCAGACCAGGAGTCCTGGCCATCGGGCACTATGCATTCCGAGTACGCACGGTAGTATCCTGCTGGCAACATATTCGTGGGTAGCTTGATGGATCGGTGGACCATGGCGAGATTCGCTCTTAAGCCCGGCCTCTATACTCTCGCGGCATGTTCACCAGTAACCTCAAAGGGGCAGGGAGTAGCCCAAGTGATTTTTAGTCGACTACGCCCACGGTTGAATCTTCACTATCAAGACCCCCATCTCGCTTTTCCGCTTTGCTCTTGTCCATTCTCCAACTGCTACACGAGTTCAAGTCTGGCAGGAACCTCGTTCATAGCCGAGGCCAAAGGGGAGGCCGACTGCACGCTCCAACGCGGCACAACTCCTGCGTATACGTAATCGAGTCGCTCACCTCTCCATCGATTACACTAGATAGTGAATCGACGGCGTTTTCTTCGATTCTCCCCACTCCCTTCGGATAACGAAGTAGCCCTTGATGTGCTTATTGTAAGTCTTCTCGTACCGATTCTTAGTGTGCTGCGCACGTAATTTACACGCCGGTGGAGCTGCCAGATTCCCATGTGATGTTACACGGAAAAGCCTCAACCACATGACTAGCTGCAACGCACAAAGGTTGCAGCTATCACGATAGCCTCATTGGCCACCAGTGGGCTCGGGCACTAAGGCATCAAGACAATAAGGCACAAAGGGCATAGCCCCCTTTGTTGCCTAGCCAGGTTACACACACCAGCACTATCTTGTATATAAAGCCCTCGTTGGTCAGGTCCGTCAGATGGAGGAACCAAGGACCTTTAAGACCATACGATATCATATGTGAATATGAGTCATTTGCTCCAAGCCCTGATCTCACAGCCCAGCCCTTGTTACATGTGACGTGGTCGGCGAGGCCAAGGCGTGAAGATAGTTGCCGCCGTAATATGTGCTTTCATGATGCCTTTCCCGACTCGGTTGGAACTGGACTCGGGTTGTTTGACCGCGACAAGGGCCCTGCAACAGCCAACACTCCTTGGTATCAAAGGTCCTTGGATTCCAAGGTCTAGGCGTCTCCTTGTACGAACCTAGAATTTCTCGTCACAGCTCTTGCGCGCCATTCGCAGCCGAAATATTGTCCCCGGCGCGATTGAAAAAAACTCGGCAAAATCACGAGGCGCCGAACAATTTTTAGATGCTCGCATGTAACGTCCCTAATAGAGCGTAGACTGCAACTCCGTCATTGGAACCAAGGTTAACAAGAAACTTGGAACTGATACAAGAGGGCATTGAAGGCCGAAAAACCAAAAGGCCGTCAAGAAGAACGCATGCGAGTGCCTCCACGCTCAGCACGCCTTGTAGACGTTGGAATCTTCCAAAGATGCTGTCGAACCGCCCGCAAGAGAGTCCTTACCGGACTAGATCATTCCCGGCAACGGCCCGCCATGACAACCGCGATTCTTGTCCCGTCCCGGCGTGGCCGATGCAGCCGGCCCGTCCGCGACCTTCGTAAGGGCCTATGAGCCGGGCTCGATTGCAGGTTGTAATGTTATAATGCGACGTCTGACCGCTCCGCTCCGATCAGCTTAGGGTTCCACTGCCAATGTGAACCGTACCAAGTTCATCTCTTGAAAACCGAGCCGTTGCGAATCCCCTAGTGCCCCTTCTATCTTCGTCACGATCCCGCCTGCGCCACTTTTACCATCAGTCCGGGTGAGCAAATGCAAAGGAAAGCAAAGCGGTGACGGCAACAATAGCGCCCTGTAGCTCGTATGCAGCGGGAGTCCTCGTTTGCACAGATGCAGCAGTTGATGTGGAGATTTCGGGCCAAGACGCGACACCGGATGCAGGTTTCTCTGGTTGCACAACTGACACGGGATAGTCTGGGCCGGAGAATCGTTCGGCTTCGATAACACAAGCCGACGGCTGGCAGCCGATCAAACTGCTAGCTTGTCCAGGTTCAACACCATCCGAGCACCAAGTCGCGGTGTCCTGTCAAGTTGACTGACGGTGCAACTAGATTGACTGTCCGACCTTGTAGGTGGCTGGACAGCATTGGCTCGTTTGGACGGTTTCATGAAGGCCTGTTCTCGTTGGGACGCTCTGTATTGGTGCCTGGATGAGATCCTTCGGAGGGGAGTCTGTTCCTTTTCCAAAGATATATTCCCTTTGTAAATGTGTGGCAAGTTCGTATGCACAGGTACAAATTCTTGCTGAGTAGCATTCATCAGACATAGTCGATGCCTTTGGCGCACCATCCCCGGATCCCTGTGACCCGACGAATGTCTCCTGCTTTCGCTGGCAGTTGTTCTATAGCAGAAACAAGTGCATTACATCACTCCACACGGCATTGAAGCCAAGAGCTGAAAGAAAGAAACCATGAACATTCAAGTCCGAAGAATTATTCAATACACCAGACATACTAAATCGCACAGGGAGAAATATTGGCAGAGAGCTCCATGTGATCAATCCAGATGGGCGTTCTGGATACACAAAGAATAGTACATAACTACAAAATGCTTCGTTTTTCCAGGTCGAGAAGGGAAAAAGTCAAGCACCAACGTCGACGCTGTAGCTCACCGTTTACTTACTTGGCCCCATTCAACTCTTACTGAAACATAACATCGTCAAGATGAGATCTGTCTTTTCTCTCCTTCTCGGCGCCTTACTCGTCAACGGATCGGTGCTGCCCGGGAATGCTGCAACCATCAGGGCAAGGCAAATGGAGTGTATATTCCGGGAGCACGGCACGCTGAAAGTCCAGTGCTTCTACGCAGGGGAAGACATCCCAACGTGAGCAGCCTGTCATGGAAACTATCCCCATTGCTATGCTGACTCACGAGCAAAAGTTCCTTCTTCCGCACCGAGCAGGGGGATTTGTCTGCTGAAGAGCTCCTGCCGTCTTGTGAGTTTGAGCAACTTCCCGACTGTTAGGGATTTATCTTGGTACGTAAATGACCTTGGGCAGTTACGATTGCTGCGTACTAATTCCCGGGGCAAGTATGGCCAGAAATAAGATTCTTTATTGATCTTGGGACCTTTAATTGGGCACAAATGGTACCGTCTGTTGTTGTGAGAGAGGGCTGCATGACAACGTCAACACATACTTTGATGAGTTTAGCAAGCAACACATAGATTCAACAACTAGAATATATGCACCGTTGCTTTGATGATTCCTGTTCTTCAAGTCAGCAAATGTTGGCAAAGTCGAAATCTTCGTCTGCGATTGAGTGGTTTACTATGGTCTCTTGAGCCAGCGCCGAGGTACTGGACAGGCAGACTCTCGTAGCAGAAATACTTGAGCTGGGCCGAAAAGTTTCGGGCGGCTTCAACTCACTACTGACCATCTACAAGAACCTCGACTGCGGGATCAGGGGCATCCAGTGACAAGTGCCTGGATGGATTTGTCCGTGAAAGGATATATGCATTCATACGTAGCTTGAAGTTTGATACACCTCTGGATCAGGCCTCAACATGGAATCCACGCTCCGGCGCATATCAGGCTCTCCCTCATCACCAGAAGACTCGTTGAATGCGTGCACGGTACATGTGCCCCTGGCCATGCTGTACCCATTCCAGGCCGAAGCTTAGACATGCCAGTCAGCATTGCGTCCTGAAGTTTTGTCACACGATCCTTGTCTAGACGAGGAAGAGAGCCACTTACCGACTATCATTGGGGCACTCGGATGCCAACTTGCATCACGCACGCACGTGCCCCAGCCAGTAGGTTCCTCGAAATGAAGTCGTGTATGGCGGTCTATGCGGCGCGTTCCCATTGTCGCCTTCTTCACATGAATCGTACCGGCCAGCGTCGCGTCCATGTTCCAGATGTAGACTTTTCCGTCGGCGCTACCCGAGTACACGTACCGCGAGTTGGTCGCGGAGGGTGGCGAGAAATGGCATCTGATCAAGGTCCGCAAGACCCGGTGGCCCCTGAAGGTTACGACAGAGTTGTCCTGGGGATGGACGTCCCAGTCGTCGTCATCGTACAGCTCTCGCCGATAATCGAAGCCGCTATTGTTGCTGTACTGAGTTGGGTCGGAGTCCCGAAACCGATTGGTAGACATGGCCATTCGTAGATCCCATAATTTCATGCTCTGATCTTTGCCGTTACTCAAAATATATCTTCCGTCGCCCTTGCTATCGATGTATGTTAGGCCCTCAATGTGGCCGACGAATGCGCCGGCTTCTCGCCCGTCTCCCATACTTCTCCGGTCCCACACCTTGATGGTGGCGTCGTCGGAGCCAGAGTAAAGGATGTGTGGTGAGGACTTGTCTGCAAAGCAGACGGCGTTTACATGATCATAGTGGCCATCAACATGGTGTAGGACTTGGCGTGACTCGATGTCATAGACGACAAGCGAGTTCGAGCTCGTGCCAGCGACGAGCTCTCGCCCATCGCCCGAAAACCGAATGGACCATATACCAAACCCTCCGCGATTTCTCCAACCCCACTGGGACGGTCTGCTACGGCCGTCGTCCAATTCCAGGGTATAGGGGTCTCCGGTGTCATTTGGGTCCGTGGGGGCGATGGACACCATGCTCTGGATGGATGTGTATGCCAGCCAGCGATTGTCGGGACTCAGAGACGCATCTGTCAAGGTCCATTGCCCCCAAGGATAGGAAACCGTCTTGTAATGTCTCCAATTGTATGGATTTGACGTGTCATACATGCGAACCTTGAAGTCCTGGCAGCAGGAGTAGAAGAAGTTGCCATCGTCAGAGAACTGCCCAGAGTACACGGGGTCGTCGTAGTGAATGATCTGCTCGACCCTCGTTCCCGGTATCATGGCCTATTACTGACGTCAGCGACGGTTTTGCGACGACCTGTCGGCAGGTGGATAAGTCAACAGCGTACCTGAGTCACCAGGTTTCCATTCCGCCTTCTCTCTTGGCCGTCTCCCAGGCCAAGCTCACGCTCCAGCATGCGCCTAGCAATGTGCTTTCGGACGCGGAGATGATAGTCGTTGGCACCAAAGGCACCAGTACGCATGAGATTAGTCCCCTGTTCACTGGGTACTTTTGGAAACCGATTCGGATCCTTGTGCGGACGTCGTCTGCGGATGCCCCAATGGCTAAGGAAGCCTTCATCATCTGCATTGTCACTGAACATGACATTGGTGAGATCGCGATTACGCAAGAGGGCCATCAGTTGAGTTCTTGTGAGTAGTCCGGACCGCCCGCCTTCTATAATGATGTCAGTGCAAAACTACATCGAAGTAGTGTACAGGGCGAGAGCGTACCTGTAAAGAGAGCCATGATGTGTCGAACCGGGTCATTTAAGCCGCCGTCACCATCATCATCTGCGCTTCCTTCCCCATGTCGTTCCTCATCATCCTCCCCATCGTCATCGCCTCCCACAACAAGCCCAAACTCTACACCTCCGGACAATGCATCTGCAAAAGTAACAGGTCAGCGACCAAAGCTTTCAAAGGGGGCCGCTGTATGATGAAGAGAATAGATGTCACGTTGCTCAATTACCCGCACATACCTTGGAAATCTTGGTCCTCATCATCGTCTTCGTCGGGCTCGTCTCTGTAGTCCGGGTCATCATCATCATCATCATCATCTGCCCAATCATCTAAATCATAGTAACGGCTGGCTGTCTCTCCAGCACTGCCCTCGTCTGCATCAAGTTGCTGCTGAGACGAGCTTGGGGAGTCTGGGTCCTGATCGGAATCATGCAGATCCATAGACAATCCGATTTCCGACAAGGCGGTAGATGCCTTCAATAGCCGGTGCAAGTATTCGATGAGTTAATGAAGTGGCGACGAAAGGCGGATGAGTTGAGCTCTGGCAGGCAGAATTGACAGCGGCAGCTCTGGAGGTCCTGAGGCGGACAAGAGAGAGGATGGTTTACTGTACTGCAGCAGGCGCAACAAACGTGTCTGTGCACAGGTATATTTTCAAGATTGACTAGATTGTTGGAAACCGATGGGGAGTAGGCGGAGCCGGCATCACTGATGATTGCTGATGGAGCGTTCAGATGTCGAGTTCGGTGACCGTGACGCCATTGACGGAAGTTGAACCATAGCAAACCAGACTAGACCATAATTGGAATCTGGATGTGTGGCCTGGTGCACTGGCGGCCATCGGAGATAAGCTGTCGCGGCTCCGAGAGTCCGCGAACCACCAGCAATCAATCTCATTCTCATGTACAGTCTTAAATAAGCGAGGAACTTTGCCACTCAACAGCGCTTTTGAGGCATTGCACAAACGTCATCTAATACACAATTCTAACCCGAAAATATGGCCCAAGCATCCTCGGTAGCTCCTCGAGTTTCTCTGTGAGTGGGTTGCTGTAAAATTACGTCTCAACTTGTCGACACAAGTGCCCTTCAATATCTCGCAGCTAACTCCTGGTATCGCCGGGCAGAATTTTGGAGGCGAATCTCGATAACAAGTGAAAAAATTTGATCAGGATTTTGGGATTCTGATTCTGAGAAGCAATTCTCATTCAGTCACCGCAGTGTGGCTCTTGGCCCGGACTGCAATTTCGGAACGTGTAGTGCAAGTATATCGCAGCCAAGTGCCGCATTTCTTAAAAACCAACATGAGTCTGTTGTATGCTGTACAAACTAGCCGGGATATATTTCAATTGTATTGTAAAATTCAGCCAGTATGCGGACCATTCCCTCTGTGCTTTTAGATTCCCCGTTTTCAATCAACGGCAGAGGAAGCAGTGTGTCGCTTAAGCTCGTACACATATGGACTAATGCGGCTGGAAGCCTGGCATAGCTGAAAAAAAGAATCAAATGAGAAACCTGACATAAAATCAAGGCTTACAAACTACACAATTGTCTTTCCAACAAAGAAAAGCACTGCCCATGGACGGTTTGCTGTGGATCTCAGGCAATAGCGCCTGCATAGTCTCTTCAAGTCCCAAAGCATTGCCAGAATTAAAATCAAGAGGGCAAATACTATTCATTCCGTACACTGGGGCTCGCTCGCGCCCCATCTTTTTGCGCCAATTTTGTGTCCTATTGGTATATAGCCTCGTGTATTTGCCGACGTTGTGAGTAGAGACAGGCTGCAACTAATAGGTGGCACTTACACGAAACAATACTTGGCCATTTTTCAAGAAGACTAAAAGTCAGACGCCCTTCTGCTGTCGGTAACAAGGGAACTATTGAGACTATAGGTGTGGGTAGGTCTATTATTAGACGTTTTTGTTTTCAACAAAGGAAAAACACGACGGATAGAACGGCCCCAGAATAAGCATAACTAGAGCTCTGACCAGCTCTGTGTACGAAAATAGGGACAGATGCTACTCACAGGCATACTAAAGCCAGTTCCCGCATTTTTTCTAGGAGTAAATATTGAGGCATCCCGCTACCATCGCAACTCTAGGGCACAGTGACCGTCTGTGTCTGATTTAATTCTCGCAGCTATTTCAAGATACGAAGCATTTTCATGTGACCTGTGAAACGAAAAAATGAAGGAATACCTTCCTTTCCTCGCTCACTGCTCTCACAGTCATGGCGTCGGCTATGCCTACAAGTCCAGCCAGCGGCGCCGAGCTTCTCTCCCGTGACAGGACAAATCCTGCGAGCGGATGCTACCTATTGTGAGAGCTCTCAGTTCTAGACGAAGACGAATGTCCACAGCAGAAAGCTGATGGCCTCCAGTCACGTTGACGAATGCTGTCTCCCTCTTGTCTGCATCTGTGCCGAGGGTAAGTCTTTTTCGTGAAACGTACTTTAGCATCCACACTGACGAAACAGTAGGGAGGCTCTACGAGTTCAACCCGAAAAGCTGGAGCGCTGGCGGCAATGGGTGCGACCCCCCATGGGGCTACATCGCCGAGTCCTGGTCCTCGCATCCAAAGTGGTGCAGCCGCCCGAGCGAGCCTAGGTTGAAAATACTATGATGAGAGTGGGATGGGTTTGTTAGTGCTATTCTTGTCAAGTCGAAGGTGCTGAACTACGATTAGGCTGGAAATCGAGGGCGGCCATGTTATACACCAAAACTATGCCGTCACAAATACTCCTTTTGCAGAAATGTACGCGACCAAGTCCATGATGCTTTACTAGCTCAAATTTAATGTAGACTGTCTTGTTGAACGACTCACGTAAAACCGTCAGCCTGAAGCGTCTAATGCGGAACTTGCCCGGGATATAGTACGCTCTGCCCGACTCTTTGGGTACGCCATGCAGCAATGGCCCAAAAGGTGAAAACTACTCCCTGCGAATACCAGTGTAGTGTAGTGAAAAGGCCTTAACCATATAGTTTGCTGAAATGCATTAAGGTCGCAGCTCTTGCAATGCCATTATATGGTGCATAAGGGTCTAATTATCTAGGCGTAAAGGCTTTCCTCTCAATGCCTTGACCACGTAGGCCAAGTTGTACAGTCAAGCATCTTCTTGTATAGATAGCTCTTATTAGTCAAGTCCTTTAGATCAAGAAACTAAAAGCCTTAGACTTTATAGTACTGCTTCAAATTGAGTGCATAACCCCTCTTAGTCCTTGTATTCCTATCGTGAGCAAGCCCTTATTACATGACACCTGCTCTTACTGTACGCTCTAGGGGCAGTTATGATTCTTTTTGAAGCCTGTAAGCCCTAGTTGTGCAGTTAAGCCTCCCAACTTGATGATGGATTAAAGCCGTCGAGACTATGATGTATGTGATGTACATAATTTGTGACACCCAAAACAGGAGACAACGGCCTGACACATGCTGGATTTATATGTCCTGTCTTTGGGGTCGTAAAATAGAAGTCAAACAGTCACCTAGATACTAGGTTCTGTGTGACGATGCAGAAAGGCAATGACCTGGACTGCCGTAGGCTCCTAAACACTGGGAGGACAAGTTGTATCACATGCCGACGAGATCAGGCCGATGACTAATAAGGACACCTTGCCGGGAGTCCGGGAGTCCGGGACTCAAGGCCCGGCATTCGGGGAACACGCTAGTCATGGCATAAATTCGGCCGCGGTGTTGCCGAGTTAAGCCACGCAGAGGACGGGCCACGGCACGGCCCCTACATGTAATTAGTCAGCTCGTCTATCGACACAAGACTTTATTCCGAGAAATAAGTAACGTGCCGCCTTATAACATCGTCAGCCCCTTATTTTTGTTATACCTATAATAACGCAATTAATATATAAGCCTTTTTTTTAACTATTAATAACTCTATTAAATTAAGCTCTTTTAACTGTAAATTTATATTATAGTACTTACTAATATTACTTATAAGAATAAAATTAAAGCTACTATTAAAGATATTTATTTTAGCCTCTTAAATATTAGCAGTAAATACTACTTACTATAAAAAATATATATAAAAACAAAGAAAACAACTATAGTATATAAATTGCCTATAAGGAATATTTATATATATTTTATATATAAGGATTTAATATACTTTATATCTATATTTCTTTATATATATAATTAAGGTTAAAAGAGAAATACTAGCTAGAATTTAATAAAAATACTAATAAGCTATAAAGGCTAAACTACTTTATAGAAGAAAATAGCTATAAAAGTTATTTTAAGCTACTAGCTATACTTAATTTAGTAGCTTTACTATAGAATTTACTTATAAATAACTCTTCTTCTTTCTAACTAAATAGAGAGAAAATTAAGCTTTTATAACTATACTTTTTAATATATACTATTATATATAATTTTATACTATACTATAAGTCTTTTTAATTATACCTTAAGAATCTTTATTAACTAAATTATATAAGCTATATTTATTATATTTATTATATTATAAAGAGTCTTTTAATTAGCTAATAATTATAAGCTTAGTTGCTATAAGCTTTATACTATATACTATACTTTAATAGAAATATACTATTTTTATTTAAGCTTAGTACTAAACTTTTAATTAATTAAAATTTAGTATTTAATTAATTTACTTACTTAGAACTTACTTAAAACTTACTTTTCTAAACTTTATTATTATTTAATAAAATTTATACTTATTTATACTTATTTAACTAAGCTTTTATATAATAAGCTATTTACTATAAAATAAGAGCAATTTCTACACAAAAACTTATAATAATTTACTATATTAATAAAATTAGTAGAAATAGCTACTAAATTTAGCTCTAGCTATATCTAGCTAACTAAAAAGCTATATATAATATATAGAGCTATATAATAAGTATAGTTAGTTACTATTATAATACTATTTTAATAGAATTTAATATAGCTATTTAACTAAAGCTATTAAAAGATTAAATTAAGCTTATATCTTAGAATTATAAAAAAGAAGTTTTAGAAACTTATAGAGCTTTATTAAAAGCTCCTAATAGAACTAAATTAAGAACTTAAATTATAAATTACTAAAAAGCCTTTATAAAATATATCTAAATATATTTACAGCTAAAATTACTATTTTAATTAGTGCTATTACTTTAATATTAATATTAAGCTGTTTTATTAAAAGCCTAAGAAAGCTATTAGTACTAAAACTACTAATAAGCTAAAAGAAAACTTTAAACTTAATTTACTAAATATAAAAGGCCTAAGACTTACTATTAATTTGCTATCTACTATAACTACTATAAATCTAGGCTTTTCTAAAACTTTAAATTATAAGGAAAGATTAATTAATTTATTAAAAACTATAAGAAAAAGAGCATAAAATACACTTAAAAACTTTAATAATAGAAGAATAATTTTATAGAAGTAGCTTTTACTGCTAATAATAGTATAGAAGCTATTACTAAGAATATACTTATATTTATAACTATATTTATAAGAATAACTAGATTTAAGATAAAGCTTAACTAAATAAGCTTAATTAAAAAGAAAAAATACTTAATAGCTATAAGATATTAAATTTATTTAAGTAAAATTAATAAAATTAATAGTATTTTAATATAAAGAGTAGTTTTATAAGCTTTTAAGAGAACTCTAAAGAATTTATTAAAAATAGCCTTAATAATTAATATAATTAACTTAATTAACTTAATAATATAACTAATAATATAAATAATATAATAAATAATAGAAAAATTATATCTAAATATATTTACAGCTAAAATTACTATTTTAATTAGTGCTATTACTTTAATATTAATATTAAGCTGTTTTATTAAAAGCCTAAGAAAGCTATTAGTACTAAAACTACTAATAAGCTAAAAGAAAACTTTAAATTATAAGGAAAGATTAATTAATTTATTAAAAACTATAAGAAAAAGAGCATAAAATACACTTAAAAACTTTAATAATAGAAGAATAATTTTATAGAAGTAGCTTTTACTGCTAATAATAGTATAGAAGCTATTACTAAGAATATACTTATATTTATAACTATATTTATAAGTTATATTAATAAAAATAATACTATTTATTTACTAAAGAACTCTTTTATTCTTAATAGTAGATTTACTATATATATATATAATAATAAAGCTTAATTTATTAAATATAAGCTTTTTATTTAATAAAATACTGCCTTTTTAAGTACTAGCTATTTAAAAATTAAAAGTTATAGTAAAATTCAGCTAAAAACCTTAGATAAGCTATTTAAATTATAAAATACAGCTTATATACTAAATTTTTATATAAATATAATAAGCCTAGACTTTTTATTAAAAGCAGGCTATAATTAGAACTTAGCTACTAGAAAAGTTACTAAAAATAAAGCCTATATTTTTACTATAAACTAGATATATTATTGATTAGTTATTAAATATAATAAACCTTTTAAAAATACTATTACAGCTAGCTTTTATAACTTAAAAATACCTATAACTTTAATAACTACCTCTACTAAATACTAGTATTAATACTTAAGTTATCTAGATAAAGATGCCTTAAAATACTTTATAGAGGCTACTATAAAGACTAAAATTATAAGCTTTTTAACTATTAAATACAAAAAATACTCTCTAGCTAAGGCAACTAGAATTATATCTAGAAGGCCTTTTATTTAAGGCTTTAGGCCTTTCTATAAGCTTTATATTAATATATTTTAGCTTAGAAAGGCTTATAATAGTTAGAATATAGTTTTATTAGCTAAAGATAGCTATACTATAATTATATTTATTTATTTATTATATTTAATAATATAAAAAGCTATATTAAAAGCTTAGCAGGAAAATTTTTTAGCCTTAAAAATATAATTTTAGTAGAATATCTATATTATTTATAAAGATAATAATCTAGGCTTTTAACTAAATTATAGTGCTTAGTTAGCTAAAACTAGTATTATAAATAAGCTTATAGCTTCTTATACCTCTACTTAAAATAGCTCTATAAAATAGTTAGAAGGTATTATAGCTACTAAAGCTAGAGTTACTACTACTTAAATATAAAAAGAGAATAGTTTAATAAATAAAAACTAAGTAGTAATAAACTACTTATAACTTAAGACTAACTTAATAATACTTAAAAAGAAGTATATAATAAACTTATAAGCTATATTTTAAAGAGTAATACTCTTAAGAGAGCTAAAGTAATACTTTAAGTATATACTAAGATAGAAGTATATTAAGCTATAACTAAAGTTATAATTAACTATAATAATATCTTTATAACTTAAAGATAGTTATAAAAAGCTATAATAATAGCAGTAAAAAAAGCTATAAAAATAGCTAAAAAACTATAATTATAAGTAAGTATTATAGCTAAAGTATATTTAGCTTAAGCTTTAGCTACTTCTCTTCTCTTTATCTTAATATAATAATATTATAAAGTACTTATAAAAGAAAATACTATTATAAAAGTATATAAAAAGTAGGCTACTACTAATATAGTATTAGCTATAAACTAAGCTATTAGCTATAATACTATTATTACTATAAAGCGCTTACTAAGTAGTAATACTATAGTAACTTTTTAAAGTAAAGCAAAATAATATTAAGAGAAAACTAGCTAAATTTAAACTACTTTTAGCTTAAATATAACTATATACTAATAAGTACTTAGTATAATTATTAAAGAGTTTTCTACTAAGTATATAAAGGTTAAAAGCTTAGCTAAAGAAATAGTAAAGATAAATAAAGTAAGAGTTATATAAACTACTTTATAGTAACTTTAAAGTAAGTCTATATAATAAACTAGCTC